ATATATATATCATATATCATATTGTATAATCTGCTTTAATATAAGCGGATGTTACACAGAGCCGTGACATCATACCCGGGGGAAAATAAAAGACTTAACTTATCCCGTGCGAATTCGCCGCACAAAACGCAGACATGGAGGTCATTTCTGAATCCTATGAGGTCCCCTGGTAATACTCGTCCTGTGCTATAACAGGGCTTAATAGGATAAAATGATGAAATGACAGTTTTGACAGACGTGGACGTAAACTGCAACTTGACTGGTTGGAGGAGGCTTTCAACCACAATGAGGTCATTCTAGTTTAAACATAGTTTAGGATGTGTGCATTGGCAGTGTCTAGGAACACTAGAGAAAGGAGACATCTGTACTCCACTAATCTCATCCTCTGATCCCTCTATTGCAGGCGGAAAAGGTTTAAAACTGAATATAAACAAGATGTATTGTTTCCTTCTTCAGGTCCAGGACAGCTAGATGATGTAAAAGTGAAATTAGGACTGACTGAACCTCATACCTCATACCTCTTATCTTAGAATATATTAATGTAGCTTTTGATTTTTCTTGCAGAATCGTCGGACGATAGCCCCCACTAAGAATGACGCTCCGTCCAGGGACAACAGAGGTTTGTTTCATGCTCTTCTGTGGGAACAGTTCAGTTATCTTCTCATTCTTGAATCATCAATGATCCATATGTTAAACACACCAGTGACCAGTATTATCACGTTGCTTAGATCTCACCCGAGAACACCAGTTGCAAAGTCACTCATTTTCAAAGTGATTTTAATAAAAAACAAATGAAAGTTTAAAACAGTAGGTACATGTTTAATGCCACGCTAAAAAGTGGTATGTTGGCAGCATGCGAGGCAAAATGTGTCTTTCTTAATCTTTGTGGGTTTCGTGTTTTCAGTGATTCCGACCCGGGCCAGACAGCCACCACCTCAACAACCAGAGCCTGCACCACCACCACCGCCGCCGTCTCTGCAGCCTACACAGCTCACTCAGGCTCAGACACAACAGCAGCTGCTGAATGGTAACATGATTAAAAGAGTAATTAACCTAAAGCCTAAGCTGTGACTATTTTCCAGAAAATAGTATTTTTAGGGAGCCAGTTGTATCATTTGGCCTAAAGTTGAATAATTCTCTTTGGGTTTAAATGCTAAATCCAGATATGGCTCCTTTTGGACGCCAATGCTTTGTAACATTTGCAGTATTTTAGATCCATTGATCTCTAGGCCATCTGTAAAACTATTAATGTGTTTTTGTTGGCCGCATGTTTATCACAGAATCCTCGCATCACCCGATATCCAGAAAGGAGTCGGGACAGCTTTGTATGTATCGCCTGCATGTTTCCCCTTCCCTCCACGCCTTATGGTGATTCTGTTAGAGGTCCCAATAGAAACGGAGAGTCCTGTAGGCTTATGAGGAGATTGTGCACCCAAAATGTTGTTATTCTGAGCTGTGGTGCGGTGGCGAAGTAGCATAAAACGCAATCCATCCAGCAAACAGGCTCTCTGGGTATGAGACAGGGTTGCTGCTGGTCTTTTCCCTGCTGTCTGATTTCTGCTGAGTCACACGCTGGCACACACATGGAAAACCCTGTGGCGCTGTGCGTTACTCCTCAAGGCTCAGACGACGTCAATAACCTTCTTCTTTATCATCCACTCCTTCTAACTGCTAGCTGTCATTTGATCAACGAGGAGGAGGGAGCGGGAAGCGCTTTGTTCTCTCCCTGTGAGACAGAGTCACAATCGGTGATGGTGTTGAATCTCGCTCATACTGCCTCGTCCTGGTGCTGAGCCAGCTCATCTTTTCCTCCCAGATTAGAGCAGATTAATAATCCCTCTGCTCTCATAGTCTGTTTTCGGGGACCGGAGCCAACGTCAGGTCATGACTGTCATGAGCTTCGGCCGGGCGTTGCGGTGGGAAGCTGTGGCTGTAGCAGCGCGCTAATGCTAATCAGATAACACTGTTTTATTATGAACAGTGCCGAGCGATGTTTGCTCACTCGCGTTCTCTTATTATGGTTGTGATTGACCTGAACAACACTAATCTGTGGGTGTGCGGTGCTGGGAGATTTGGAATAAGCTTCTATTGATTGCGGGTTGATTTTGTAATCATACTTGATTTGAAACCACCTCATTTTATTTGGAGTAACTGCAGTTAATACAAGGCACATATCTCGATTACGAGTGAGATGTTTCAGCAGTCTCTCGGTCCAGTCGTGTTTTAGGATGTAGATGGAAGATGTAGATGGGATACATGAGGAGAGAAGGTTTAGAACATACTGTAAGGGCCTTTTGTCGGTTATGTAGAGAAAGAAGCGAGTGTTTATACTAGAGGCACTGTGTGCCAGCCACTGCATCGCAGTCTGTGCTTGAGCTCTATTACTGTTTCTCTTTGTTGGATTCAGCCCAAAGTCTCCCTTCTGTTTGAAAGACTACCACGAGAGAGGAAAGCTGCACAGAGGGAAAGATGCTGTTCAAGCCAAGTGAAAAGGAGGACGGAGGAAGTAGAAGAAACTTTCTGGAAGAGACAATTTTACAGATGAAAGGATATTGGCGTGTGGCGTGAAAAGGCAGTAGAGTTACTGTTTCTATTGTCTTTATGGCAGCGAGGAGGAAGTCAAACTGCGTGAAGGAGGTGGAGAAACTGCAGGAGAAGAGAGAGAGACGCCGGATTCAGCAGCAGGAGCTCAGGGAGAAGAGAGCTCAGGTACAGCAATACTATCCTCCTTCCTAATAATCCAAATAGATTGATGTGATCTTGATGACCACTTACACTCTTGATATTGAGACGATACATTGAAATACATAAGAATGATTTGCCTGTTGGTGAATAAGCCGGCCCCTCTCCTCTTGCCCTCCTCCAGGAGGTGGACACCACCATCCCCAACTATGAGATCATGTACATGATCCGAGATTTCCGAGCCAGTCTAGACTACCGGCCCCTGACCACAGCGGATCTGGTAAGTAGATGTAACTTCTCTTCTGGCCGATGTCATCGATTACAAAACTATGCTGATTTGCATAACATGTGTCGGCACATTGCAAGAATATGGCTGCGCCTAATCTACGCGATTCTCCTGGAGAACAAGCTGCAGCTTAAGACATCTCCCCTGATCCTCTAAAGTGTGGAGGTATTTCAAACAGAGACAGGAAGCAGCAGGACGGCAGCATGTCCTGTGCACTTTTTGTCCTCGCCCATGCATGATGTTTAAGGATTATCAGATAGAAGTAGTCACTTAAATTGATTTTCTAGATGTCTTTTCATTGCCACCGTGTTAAACGTCTGATTCTCCAGTTCAGGGAAAGGGCGGCGATGACACGCAGTGATCAAATTAATGTGTCACAGCGATTTTAATACAAATATTGTATATTATCTTCTTACATGTGGTAGTTTTTAAGAGAAGACGATTGAGTAAAATATTTGAATATTAATCGTGCAAGTTCTTATGTTACATTGGTCAAGAATTAAAAAAAATACTCTTTAGAATAATCAATAAATTCCTCGTTAGATGAATCATGTAATCAGGTGCAGCCCTGTTTAGACGTTGACCCTCAGAATGAAACACTATAATGAAATGTTCGTCTTTGTGTCGCCGTCCAGATTGAAGAGCACAGAATCTGTGTGTGTGTGAGGAAACGTCCACTCAACAAGAAAGGTACGTTCTACTGTCGGTACCAGCATTGCTCTTGTGACTGTCGTTGTGTGTTGTACTCTATTTAACATGTTAACGTCTCTGCTTTGTTCCAGAGTTGTCCATGAAGGATTTGGATGTGATCACCGTCCCCAGTAAGGACGTGGTGATGGTTCATGAACCAAAGCAGAAAGTGGACCTGACCCGCTACCTGGAGAACCAGACGTTCCGCTTTGACTACGCCTTCGATGACAGCACCACCAATGAGATGGTTTACAGGTTTGTAACAACAAATAGACCAAACTGTTTGTGTTTGCTCTAATAGTTGGCAGAAGTTACACCCGACTAGTCAATCTGATTACCATAAGGCCTCATTTTGCAGAACCGAATTAACATATTTCTGGTTTGTGTTCTAGCGTGCTTTTACAGATGGAGTGGTGAAGAAATGTGTCTTTTGTCTCCTCCTGCAGGTTCACTGCCAGACCTCTAGTGGAGACCATTTTTGAGAGAGGCATGGCCACCTGCTTTGCCTACGGGCAGACAGGCAGTGGAAAAACACATGTGAGTCACATGCAATGAAACGAGCACAAACCACAGCACGTACTTGAGATCCAACCCAATAGTTTCTATTGACAGGTTTGCTCTGTTTTTATCACCCTTGCATGTTGTCATGTTTCAGACTATGGGTGGAGATTTCTCTGGGAAGAACCAAGACTGCGCTAAAGGAGTCTATGCATTAGCTGGTGAGTCAGTGAGCTCATTCATTGTCTTCATGTGTTCAAACATTAGTTTGGTTATTCTGTTATTACGGCTTTGGTTATTGCTCTGATGACATTTCTCTTCTCGTGCAGCTCGGGATGTATTTCTCATGTTGAAGAAACCCAACTACAAGAAGTTAGATCTACAAGTCTACGCAACCTTCTTTGAAATTTACAGCGGAAAGGCAAGTGATGTGTAATGGTATGTTTGTTAGTTTCTTCCCTAAATAAAGCATTGACCGATGCTGACTGTGTCTGCACGATCAGGTGTTTGACCTGCTGAATCGTAAAGCTAAGCTGAGGGTGCTGGAGGACGGGAAACAGCAGGTCCAGGTGGTTGGGCTTCAGGAGAAGGACGTCAAGTGCACGGAGGAGGTCTTGAAACTCATAGAAGTGGGCAACAGCTGCAGGTATAACAACAGAAACGTTGTCTAGTTGTTGTTCCTGGTGCAAGACTTATTTTTGTTCTGCATGAAATAAGTCGGTTACTTACTTTGCAAATGGCTCTCACTAGAATATGACCTCTTATTCCTTGTACTGTGTTCATGGCAAATAACAGAAAGTCATGCACACTTTTTGCCTCTTCCCTCCCCGACAGTTGTTCTTGTCTTGCTCTCTTCATCCCTCGTTTGCCACTTGTTCATTTTTATGTCTCCTTCATCTCACTCCCAGAACATCGGGGCAGACATCAGCCAACGCCCACTCCTCTCGCAGCCACGCCGTTTTCCAGATCATTCTCCGGAGGAAGGGGAAAATGCACGGCAAGTTCTCCCTCATCGACCTCGCAGGCAACGAGAGGGGAGCGGATACCTCTAGTGCTGACCGCCAAACCCGTCTGGAGGGAGCGGAGATCAACAAAAGCCTGCTTGCCCTCAAGGTTTGTTGACATCGGTGGCAGTATCCGACTGCTAAGCATTTACTACTAACTGTAAAATACTCCGTGGTTTGTTTTTTTTACCCATGCGATGCGTGTCTGCTTTTGTTTCAGGAGTGTATCAGGGCTCTTGGCCGTAACAAGCCTCACACTCCATTCAGAGCCAGTAAACTGACTCAGGTCCTGAGAGACTCTTTCATCGGGGAGAATTCACGCACATGCATGGTCGGTCAATTGCCTTCAACATCCTGTCTCCGTGTCTTTGTACTGTATGTCTCCCAGGTGGTATTAATCTGGATGATCTTCTCTTTCTCTGCACAGATTGCAACAATCTCTCCCGGTATGACGTCCTGTGAGAATACCCTCAACACACTACGCTACGCCAACAGGTGGGAATATGTTGACCAACCTTAAAGCCCTCGGGAACCAATAGAACGTAGACAATGTTATACCATTATAGCTCTTTTATTTCCTCTATAATCCCCACTGACTTTTGTATAGATTGAAATTAGCTGTGCCAATGTTGTTACTGTACATGTCTCTAACTCTCAGTAGTTCTGTCTGACTGTCTCTCATGTCCCCACTTCTTTTCCTGCTTTGTTTCCCTCTCCTCCCGTCTTCTGCCGCTCTGTGCCGCGGTGTGGCCGCTGCCGCCATGTAGAGTGAAGGAGTTTGGGATTAGTCCGTCTGACATCCCCTTCTCCCAGGGCGGTCAGGGGAGTCGCTCTGATCACTCGCCCACCAATACCTTTGACTATGATGACTTTGCTGCTACCTCTCCCAGCAGGTCAAGCAAACCCCCAAAAGCACAACACAACGCAAGCATACACACAAAACACAACACGATGCATGCTCTCCCTCCAGGTCTTTATTACCTCATCATGATATATACATCCACGGGCTCATTTCAGCAGTTTTCATGCACGTCACCAGCTGTTCACTGTGGAACACCTCCACTGTCGTCTTATTCTTTCTGTTCATCATCTGCATGACTTGACACTTTTCATCCTCTTCCGCTGCTTCAACTTCCACTTTCATCTTTGCCAAAGCTTGTGAGCTGTTTTTTCTTTTCATTGACTCCTGAAGACCAAGTCCCGATGCTCCCATCCGGTGCTGTTTGTGAATGCCTCTGACCCCACAGTAGACTTCATACACACCATCAAACAGCGGCCACGCCCAGCGTGGCTTTGTGCTGTGAAAGAAACGCTGCCAACCAGTTATTTTCTCTGCAGGGTGAAGGAGCTGACAGTGGACGCCAACCAAGCGATGGACGGGGGTCGACCCAACATCAACGCCGTCAACCAGCTGGAGCTGTTAGACGAGGACTGGCTGAGCATCTCGCCGCAGAGAGACGACCTCAAACTGCTCTGTGAGCAGAATGTAAGTACACACGGTCTCGCAGTATATGTAGCCTCATAACACAATGTCAATACGCAAAAGATTACCTGCTGAAGCTGCTTCTGGTTCCCTTTCTGACCCTGTGAATACGTTTCCCAGGAGGAGGAAGTGTCTCCGCAGCTCTTTACTTTCCACGAGGCGGTGTCTCAGTTAGTGGAGATGGAGGAGCAGGTCCTGGAGGACCACCGAGCTGTGTTCCAGGTCAGACTACTAAAGAAAACATACACAACTCTTTAAATACTCGCTCACATGCGTATGTCCACATACGCGATGACAGACGTGTCGTCTTCTTTTAAGGACTTTTCTCATTTCTATACATGAAGGTATAGAAGTACAGTGAGATAGATTCTAATCGGGCAATGCAAAAATCCATCGGCATTACTTTGGGTGATGATTTCAACCATATTAACAAAGTCAAATGCGTCCCACCACGGTTTCATAATGAACAGAAATGTTTTTTGAACTGTTTTTTGTCTGCTGGGGGGATTCAACTCAGCGGGTCATAGAAGTAGGCTCTGTGTGAGACGATCCTCTTGTGGGACGTCTCCACCGGGACGCTGCCCTGGCCAGGCTCATTTCCTCCAATTTGAAGAGTTTCAAGTTGAGAGGGGTCACCTATAGAAGAGTCGACTCATCGAAATTCAAGGTGTAGCCGTACTTGCTATCACATGCATGTGTAGGTGCTGTGTGAAGGCAATAATAATTCATTCACCAACCGTTCTTAAGAAGACATTTCTTTGTAAAACCCACTTGCACAGTGTTCACAGATGAGATACACCGATGGTATATTATTTGGTAAGAATAGAATCTATGCACACCCGAGAGCATTTGAGGGCTGACATGTCGGTCCAACATAATGAGTTATTGCATGCATTTTCTTCTACGGTTGTATAATATAGGATTTAAATGACCACAATATTTTTTATTTATGATATTTCTGAATGTGCACAAGACCCTGCTGTTAATGGCGTTTGCTAATTAGTGTCAACCGGCACTAATGTTTTAGGCCTTTGTTTTAGGACGATGGGATTAATCATAAGAACACAGGTACGAACAACGCTGCGGTTTAAGAACATGTCGTGAATCTTAGAACCATTCCTAAGAACACATTTAAGGTATTTGCGATTGAGGCCCATTCTTCTGTGCTTCTGGCACGACTAGATCTCGTGCTGCCGTAAACTAAATATGCACTTGTCCTGCATGTGTCCTCTGTGAGCAGGAGTCCATCAGATGGCTGGAGGATGAAAAGGTACTGCTGGAGATGACGGAGGAGGTGGATTACGATGTGGAGTTGTACGCCACTCAACTGGAGCAGATCCTAGACCAGAAGATAGAAATCCTCACGGAGCTCCGAGGTATGACTTGAAACACACGTTTGGCGACGATGCTTCCCGCTCCAGCAAAACACTAATCCGTGTTTTTACGACGATGGTTTTTTTTCCCCCTCTCAGATAAAGTGAAGTCATTCCGCTCTACGCTCCAGGAGGAGGAGCAAGCAAGTAAGCAGATCAACCCCAAGAGGTCACGTGCTCTCTAGAGAGCTGAGAGGGAAGAGGTTTAAGTGGCACATACAGAAGCAAAACCACTCCACGTTCAGCACCACTCGGGCCGTCTCCAGCAGCTGTGACGGTGGAATAAAAGAACAGTCTGACGTACCGACAGGCTCCAGGATTTGAAGCATTTATTTTGATCCCTCTCCTAACAACACTGTTCGTTCACTTCGGTCTCGTTAGAAAACTTAGGAAGGACAATAGTTGTGTTTCCTTCATGGAGAATGTTTAGTCTCCCCTCTCTGTTCTTATTAAATTATTTTCTTTTATACTTGTTTGTACTTTCTTTGAACAGAATATTTTTCACCTGGTTTCAGAAGAGGTCTTCATCGAACATGTTTTGAAGGTTTACTTTACTAAACCAGTATTTGGTTTCTGGTTGCCCTGGCTGACATGTCTGCATGTGCACTCTGCGATAGCTTACGTACGCCACCGTCCTTTGGTTTTTATGCTTTTGGGCCCTCGGTTGGCATTGTGTAGTCGTATTATTATGAGCGGTCTCTTCTCTCTGTTCCTTCCTTCTCAGAAAGAAGCCTTTAACCACAGCGTGCTTCTTCCCTTGTTTCCTTCCTCGTGTCCCGGAGGATTCTACATGTAGTCTGCTTCAGTTTGTGCCATGTCGCTCTATGTGGCAACTGATTTAAACACTCTTACTCAACGTAAACAATGTTTTCCACCCATGTTTAACACTTTGTTATAAAACTGAACTGCTATTAATACATGTATAGTAAAACCCGCTGATCTACCATCGGTCATGTCTCAGTGTTTGCACCGGATGTAATGCTGGATGAAGAATAAAGATTCATGTGTTTCATTTAAAATGGCTTTTGTGATAATAAGTTATCCAAACACAAAGGACTGAATAACTTTCATCAAAAACCATCTTCCACCTCCTCTGAGTAGAGACGCTGGTGTTGTTTTTACCTCGTGGGTCTGGGTGAGAGTCCTCGTGGTCCTGGAGACGAGAGGAGCTGGTTGTGAGTACTTTGCCAGATGTTTATATTTCTGTCTGTGGACAGATGTTATCACCGCGATAGCGTCACAGTGAAACATGCAGTCAGGAAACTACTGGTGTGTTTAAAGGAATGTTATGAACATACGATACTATGACTGTTATGCATCTGTGTCGCTGACAGCTGTGGCTGGAGGCATTATGTTTTTGGATTGTCCAGATGTTCGTACGTCCGTTCTCGTGAACATTATATCTCAGGAACACCGAGAGGGAATTCCTTAAAATTAGGCACAAATTTCCAGACTTTTAATGGCACACCATTAATGACTATTTATGCAACATACTGCATTACGACTTTTTATTTATTTTTTTCACATAATATACTATGACTTTTTGTACAACATACTATAATATTATGTTTTATGTCAGACTATACTATGACTTTGTATGACATACTTCATGAAACTTTATGACACTCTACAAAGACATTTTTACTACTTTTCATGACGTGCATGGCATACTGTACTATGATTTTATAAAACATTTTTTAGCGCTATACAATACTATGATTTTGGTTTGATTTCTAGACTAATCCTTTTTAAGCTTTTCGACATACTACACTGACAAATTATATTTTGACTTTTTTTGATATACTATGACTTTTTATGAATGAATAAACTATGACTTTTTTCAACATACTAAACTGACTTTTATATTACTTTTTTAAACAATATATATTTTGACTGTTTTTTCAACATACTATACTATGACTGACATTTTTCGACATTAAATATTTTGACTTTTTATGACTTTCAACATTCAAAACAATTGTTTTCGACATACTAAACTATGACTTTTTATGACATTGGTTCGACAGACTATCTTTTGAATGTTTTTATGACTTTCGACATGCTATACTATGACTTTGTTTTTAGATACTATACTATGACTTTGTTTTTAGATACTATACTATGACTTTGTATGATGTTTTTTTTGACATTTTTAGATTTTTTTAAACATAATATATATTTTGTCTTTTTATTATTTTTCAACATCCTATATTTTCACTTTATTCGTTTTTTCATCATGCTATACTATGACGTTTTATGACACATTTTCAACATACTATATATATTTTTATTGCTATGACTCTTTTAATGGCATACAATCGGTGTGTGAAATAGCCTTTGGCAATCGAGGATTCCCGCCTTATGATTTTAGAGACCCCCTTAATGTTTTCTCAAGTATCAATGAAGGGGTCTCGGCCCCCCTTTGAAAGGGCCTAAAGGTGACACTAAACAGTTGTAAAATGATTTCTTACCTAAAATCATTTGAAGGCAAACTGGACATCTGCACAATTAAGAAAAGTGTATTTTAATTAATCATACAGTAGTAAGCTAACGTTACACACGTGGTACAATGTCAATATGCTTAGAAACAAGCAATGGTTTCAAAGTGCTTACTGCGCTATCTTCGTCCTCCCTTCTATATATATTGTATCGTCCGGTTTCATGTTTTTAATATATTTTGTTAAGATAAATGCGTGATTTCTTCACATTCTACATCAGTTTTATTTTGTGTGGGTCTCACCGGAAGCACCAGTCTGCTGTGTCGACCTACCTTGACACCAGTGGTGTCAATAGTCGTTATGACCAAGTGTGTTGACTGCCCTCTAGCGGTGAAATGGATGAGCTACAACTGGACACTTCACAGGCATTAATACAGACAGTACTGATTGTCTATGGAAACCGCCACCGACTGTAATAAATACTTAAGAGTATTTGTACTGATGTCCACTCATGACATCTGTTAACTCTACCAACATCAAGGCCAAACAGGCCGACTACTTTCGCTATATAGATTACGTTGGACAGTGTTGTAGTTACATGTTGTGGCCGCTGGACGGGAGCAATTAACCGTTAAGTGTTCCGAGAGTCAAAACAGAATCAGCAGACTACAAGCACTTCCGGTACGGACTATCAAAATAAAGATTCCAAAGCCTTGTACTTGCGCATTGTAGCCACCAGAGGGCAGTAGTGAAACATGTGTTCCGACAGTCAAGTTAGCGTCAATAACACTACTAAGATTTCCGGTAAGTACTATCAAAACAAAAGTTCAAGAGCACAGGTTGCATATAGATACCACTATTGAAAGATGTGGTCGTCAATCATCTCCTTTACCCTACCGTTCAATGTTTTAATATAGTTTATGGAGTCAACGCTCCATGCGTCTCCACGTGTTCCTAAACGCAGTCCAGTGGGGAGACTGCAACACCACTGAGCTTCTGTTTACGCTGGTGAAAAGTCAATAAAGTTGTGGGGGTTTTTTTTATACTTTGAATCGTCTCCTTTGGGTAAATGTGATGGGTATTACTAAAATGTTTTGACTTGTTTTTTCTTTCAATACAACGGTTAATTAAAAAAACTATTATTTTATAGCGAAGGTAAATAGACACCGGTGCTTTAACAGTACAAGAAAACATTCCTCCTCTCACACACATTCACACACTGATGGCAGATGATGGACATGTAACAGCGCCAACTTGTGGATGTGGATTTCAGTGTCAGCCTAATTAACCAATAGTTGAAGCCTTAGATTGCAGTACCATTTAGTCAGACGGTGTTCACACAGAACAAGAAAAGAGTTACACAGAAACAAAATGTCTGCACAATTTGAATTTATTTTTTAAGGAGACACTTTTAAAAAATCTAGCATTATCACAAGGTCAGACATTAACTGTAGATTGCTTTGATCTTAGAATAATTCCCCATTACAGATCATTTGTCAATGAATGATGAATGCAGACACACTGGCAGGCACAACCAAGAGGGCTTTTAAGATTTCATTTGCCAAAAGCTGCCCGTGCATGCTCAGGGACATCTATACTCATCAGGGTAAAATACACACTCAATATGAGCTCTTTAAATGTGTCTTCCATTACTCTTTGTACATTTCTTCCAACTATTTCAACAAAGCTCCAGAGGACAAAAGATAAGTCAGACGATCCATTTCCTTCCACTCGTCTGACCACTAACACCCCCCCCCCCCCCATCATCATAAAGACAGGACATGCCAGGCACAGCACTGTTCTCCATCGCTCTGCCCTTTAACAGAAGTGGATCCCTGCAGAGTTGAATGCATGAAGCAGCCTGAGGATGAAAAAAAACACTCGCAATTAAAACTGGTAAAAACAGATATTTATTTTAGTAGATTATTTGGGAAAAAAAAAGGGTTTAAAATAACTAAGTAGTAGATGTTCAACTTACACCATGAAGTCATCGATGTCCATGGACCGGGCTCTCTTCACACTGAATTCAACCTCCTCCAGAACGCTCTCTATCTTCTTGGTGATGCTGAAGTCTGCTGGCACTTCCTGTCAAGTTAGAGCACAAGCCTTTAGACTCAAACTTGCTGAGGAGCGATCTTAAAAGTGCAGTCTCAAAACACTCGAGAGTCAGACACGACCAAAAGAACTACACTGTGACTCACCACATTGTTCACAGAGCAGTGAATTCTGTAGTTCTTTTCCAGCAGCTGTTCTACCGCAGTGGACCTGGAAATTATAAAACCAATAAGATCGTCTGTTTTTCCCCCCCCACACACAGAACAGACTTGGATCAGTGTGGCAGTGTGGACTCACTTGAAAGCTGCATTGAGGGTTTTGTTTTTCCTTACAAAGGCTATTCTGACCAGGCCATCCCACTCCTTTTCAGGAGAAAAGAAAACACAACGGTATACATCTACAATTTACCTCCTGTTTAAACTTTCGCATTGTCACAACATATTGCAACTATTAACAGAGTCAAACCTCACCTGGAAGTTAACTGGAGGAGGAGGATTCTTCGGTTCTATCCGGACGACACTTGACTCCACTTTTGGAGGAGGACGGAAATTATTCTTCCCCACCTGATGGAGGGGAAAACATCGACACTGAGACACAGTGGCTGCAACACCTGGACAATCACCGTCATGATGTTTCTGTTTCCTAGAGAGTCGCTGTTAGACAAACATAAGAGAAGCCACACTGACCTTCATGAGATGGTCGACACGAGCCAGTAGTTGAGTGTTGATGGACAGTCGGCAGTACAGCTTGTCTCCAGGTGGGGCGACAAGTCGCATGGCAAACTCTCTCTGGAACATCAACACGGCACACCTGAGCAAAAGTAAAACACAGAAGAGTTAAATACCCGACGTGGACGTACAAAGAACACAGTTAACACTCTCAGTGGGCGCCCGTTCGATTCTCACCTGAAGAAAGGTCGATGCAGCAGGAGCTTGAAGACAAATGGCGACGAAATCTGCCAAATTAGGAAAAGTCAAGTTTGAGATAAATGTATTGAACGACACTGAAACAACCGTGAGCCGTGTGGAGGAAACATGTCTTTACCTGGTAAGGTAAATTAGCCACACACACGTCAAAGAAAGGCAGATCTGCCTTTAGTACATCTCCAACTAATATTTGAAGTTTGGCCTGCATGGGTCTGTTGGGAAACACAAGGTCCTTTGATTAGATCGTGTATTCACTTTGTATTTAATTGCAGATACTTTGAGTGCTACCGTCTCCACTCACGTGCACTGTACTCTTTTCTGAAGTTCAGCCACTAATCTGCCGTCCAACTCACAAGCCACCACCTGCCGAAAGAGCAATTTCTGTTACGACTGAACAGTGACAACGATTGTATCACTGCGGAGGAAACACGGATCACAACAGAAGAGGTGAAGGACAAATGTGAGCTGGACAAAACTGTTAAAAAGGTCAGTTAGAAGCACGTTCAACTTTGCAAGAATTTGAATACATTTGACTGTATATGAAGCTAATAAGCAGATTGTGAATACTGATCAAGCAACATGCAAACTGCAGCTTTAGATAATGTGGCTAAGAGATTGTTCAATCAGAGCCACCTTTGACACGTTCACATGTCTCTGATGAGCTCTCACCTTCTTGGCTTTTTCTAACAACTTCACGGTCATGTTACCAGTACCGGGTCCCACCTCCAGGACCACGTCCGTCGGCCTCAGGGCAGCCTGAAAACATAACCACCGCCATGGTTTAGGAACACTGTGCATAATGATCGTCTGAGTACAGTTGCTGACAGGATGTGTGTGCAGGTGTCACAGATGATCTGTGCAGTGAACTGGTCCAGCGTACCTTCTCAATGATCCCATTGACAACCAATGGGTTCTTCAGGATGTGCTGACCGATGCCGGTGTTGAACATGATCCCTGCAACAGACGGGATTGGGGCACTTTGAGCTGAGTTTGTGTGATGTTAACGAGTAAAGCAGTTCATGGTAAAATAAGTAGATGCAACTCTAAGTCTCTCAATGTTTTGTCCCAGGAATCAGCATCTGTGTAGAGCGTGAACCCTGCAACGAGAACAGTTGTTTTTGTATTTTGTTTCATTGTAATACTGTTCAATGAGTGAACTAATACCATTGTTATTTCAAAAACCATGATTTGGTATCTATATAGAGCTGATATTTAATCTACAATTCAGGATCAAACTAATACCCATTAGTAATACCCATAACCCGGCACTTGATTGGCAGTATGTTTGACATTAACTGATTATTTGGTGGACACTGTTTGCCGAAATAACCCCGATCATCTCAACAGTTCAGCAGTAACCTTTACGGTGCATGTATGTGCATGAGAGGGTGAGTGGATCCTGGTTAAATAACGTCTTTTTTCTATTTGCTATTAATAAACGTTAAACTCACGTAAACAAATGTTTAACGTTAACACAGGAGATTGATGTGACGGCCACAGTTGGGATTAGTGTTGGTCTTTGACACAAAACTGCTCGATATGTGTGACGTTAGCAGCGACATGTTGACGAACTTTAAAGCCCAGCTGACAGTGAGATGTTTGCTATCATGCTAATGCTAACTTCTTCTTCGTGGACATCTACCTTGGTTTTTGACCTCTTGGTGCTGCCTGCTTTTCTTCTCCGCCCTGACTTTAGGCATTTTGACTTGATTTTTATTCCAGCTGAAGATTCAGAAATCCAAATTTGTCTGTCCGCAGTAAACACGTGCAGCCTCCCGTTCTTCTTCTTCGCTGACAGGATGTGCAGAAGGTTTAGAATCTCTCCTGCTTCCTGTTTCGCCCTCTAGTGGCAGCTGGACGTCATCTACATAGCTTCTTTTTTATTTTATTGATGATATTACAGTACTGGTTCTAGCAATTTTATTGATTATTTATTTGACAATATAATACAGACACACATATGCAGTAAATGATTCATTCTCTAGTCAGAAATGGGAATTTCCTCCAGCGTCATTGCGATGTCTCGTAGTTTGGGATCATCGAGCCAGTTGACTTTACAGGCCAGGAGGATGCCCTGAAGACAAACACCGACATTAATACACTACCTGCAAATGTCCCTGTAGGCATCAACCACTTCCAAACATTGTACTGACAGACATTCTATTTAATTTGAACTTAATTCCTGTTCAGTTCATTTACCCTGAGGACGTTCTGTGTCATGACGGTCATCTTTTTGTATTTCTCCAGGTTGGCCTGGCCTTTCTCCAACACAGCTTTGTACTTCCCTGTATCTGGGTTCCCCGTCTTAGACATCAACTCATCCATCTCCTTCATTTTCTCATGTGCGAGCCGCTTCATCTCTACACACACACACACACACACACACAAAAAAAATGTCAGCAAACTGGACCGTGGAAAAACTAAATCAACATCTAATTGTACTTTTCCGTGATGAACCACATAACGTACCGAGCCTCTTCTTCTGTATTTCTGTGATTTCATCTTGAACATCTCTTGACTCCTGTTAACAAAAGGGAATCCGGTTCAGAATGAATTATCTCCATTTCTCAGAACACTATTGATGTAGAAAAACGTACATTGAGGTCAATCTTCATTTAGATGAATAAAGATAAGTAAATATATTTGCCTCTGTTGAGTTTACTTGAGTGTATTGTTTTATTCAGTTTCTGGTACCAGGAAATTCTGTTGACCGTCTAGCATCAAAACCTTAAGACCATCACTCTACTCCCAGAATAAATCCTAAACTGTCTTGTATAATAAGGTCATAAAGAGGGGCATAACAGCATAAACAGAGTGCCACTTCCTCTGATGTCAAAGCAGTTATAAAACCATTCAATATTTACAATTGTTTTAAATATGGTAATGTAACTGCAGACAAACATTATATATATATATATATATATATATATACATACACACACACACACACACACACACGCACACACACACAGGATAATGAGGCTGCTTACTTGCTGAAGTTGTTTTATTTGTGAACAAAGAGCCATGCAGCGATCATTCACAGCTTTCAGGGCACTGATAAAAACACAAGTGTATGACCCAATTATCAAAATAATCAAAAATATATGTTGGTTAGTTGTGTCAATATGTTGTGAATTGACTTACACGGACTCTGAATCATTCTGTTTCAGTTTTTCTCCGATAGCGTGCCACATCTGCATTCTGAAAGACACCCATTCAATCAATGGTTGGTCAAAGGTTAGTTATTATACTTCTATACACATTTTATTGTGGAAAAATCACTCATCAAAAAGGATTAGTCATCGGTTTACCTGTGCAGTGTCAACGTGCTGTTAAAACTAATTGTCTTGACTCTTTCCAGCTCATTAACATAATCTGACCTGTAATATTAATAAAAATACATGTTAACAGTACACAACTTTAAATTGACTCTAATCTCACAGTTGGTCAAAATTCCAAATCAACATCAATAGGATAATTATGAATACTCACAATTCTCTCTCAGCTTCAGATGTGCTGCAGGGTCTCTTACTCTTTCCTGTAACAGGAAACAATATTAATGCTTTGTTTGTGTACTTACTGACACTTCAATATGATGGGAGAAATGCCAGTTATATACCCGCTTGTAGCTGTACTGCCATCTCAAAGCACTGGTTGGACATCTGTTGTTTTATTCTGAAAACAGTAATTTCCACAATTTAAAATAAGATTCTAATCACTGTCTTATGACAAGCGGTAACATGCTGTCATGGGTGTTTGATCCAAGTGGATGGAGCATTTAAACACAGGTGTGATTCATCAATAATAGATAGAGAACCTCAGCATGTCTGCAGGCGGGGTGTCTTTCTGTCCGGTGGAGCCGTCAGGAGCAGGACCATAATTCAGAGCCACAGCCTCCACCGGGTGGTCCAGGTTCTCAGATGGGTCCATCACAACACAGTGGCGGTGCCTGTCGGGACAAATCAACTCAGACATGTCACATCACCTGGGTTGATCCAAGGAGCTTCACCATTTTAGTATTGTTGACCCGAAAGAATGAATTGCTACTCATGTGCTACAAAATGAGCTTAATATCCAAAGTTTAAAGAGATATCTTACCTTCTCTGATTGAGGTTAACGTTATAAGTAAATCAAATTAAATAAAGACAGCGGTACGTTGTTCTCCCAGTCCTACCGACTAACGTTAACGTTATTCAGAAAGTACCTCCTCCTTTCTGACGTTACACTTAGTTACCGTTACGTTACGTTGGATTACAACTTTAACAATAACTTCACAAATGCTTTAAGCAGCTGTCACATGCGAAGCATTGTTTACCAAAAGACACTGACGTTACACTTATCAATTGTTTCACAGTTATCGCATGGACGTACACATCGTTCACTGGTTTTGTTTACATCCATTTTCAGAGCGAAATCCCCGCCAGGAAGTGACGTCAGATTTCGGGTCCCCTTAAATTAAGCAGCGCCCCTGGAGGCGAGATGTTTGTTGACGTGGAAAAATAAAATGGAGCCGCTAATGTTTTTGACTGCCTTATTTGATAATTATTAACCTACTTGCATAGCGAGATAAAGACTATTTAAGACTGTTTTGTAAGGTCAACAGAGTCTAGATTAAAGCTAGATTAACTAGTTATTTATTATACAGTGCAATGTCCAAACCTGAATGAAATAAAAAATATGTATGACATTCTCAGTGATTAAAAACATATTCATAAGTTTATAACTATTAATACTAATAATGTAATAATATGAATATGCGAATACTCTCATTATTAACAGGTGAGGCAAACATCTCAAACAAGACAATAATCTACAATTAATAATTAATAATAATCATTTGATATGATCCGCCTCGCCTCGCGGAGTGGCGTGAATGCTGTTCTCGTTGCTGCAGCAGCTCACTGCAGCGCCGGGTCAATAGGTTTAACATGGCTTCCTCAGTCTTGTGAGATATTATTTCAGTGATTGAGACTAGAGACGACTGATATCAGCACGCTCAAGCGTGTTACGGAAGACTGTACCTAGACTTTTGCCGACGATGGAGAGCCAGAAGAGAAGGGTATGAGTCACGTTTTGGCCCAGACCTGTCTGTCGCATGCATTTTTAACGTTGTCACCTACGTGTCTTAGAATGCTTTCCTTAGTGCAGTTAATTAATCAATCCATACATCGTTGACTGCCTCCAAGTTAACAAGGAGCTCTGACATGTCAGTTCTGAATAGTGTGTGAGTTCTTCTCCAATCTACTAGACTTGTTATTCAAACATAAATAAGGATAGCCTCGTGCACAGTGTTTAATAATAGACTCGAGAATAATAGACTGTATCAGACTTTTACTGTTTACTCTGTGATCATTTGATTTGATTAGGGCTTAACTGACCAGGAGACAAAAAATAATTTCAATTAGGCAGTGTGCAGCTGGCATGACCCGGAGGTATGTCATACCGAGTTATTGATCACTTGATCACAGTATATAACGTGTGTGTGTGTGTGTGTGTGTGTGTGTGTGTGTGCGTTTGCATTCAGGGTATCTTAGAGCGACTAAATGCTGGGGAGGTGGTTGTAGGTGATGGAGGTTATGTGATGCAGCTAGAGCGACGTGGCTATGTGAAGGCTGGACACTGGACACCTGAGGCAGCTGTTGAACATCCTGAAGCAGGTATGTTACTTACACATTGACATGGCACGAGTGGACTCGCGTTTATTTGCATACAGTGTTTTTCATAAAAGCCCCTTTTTCTATGTCCGTCTGTCAGTGCGGCAGCTGCACAGGGAGTTCCTGAGAGCAGGAGCCAATGTGCTTCAGACATTCACCTTCTACTGCAGTGAGGATAAACTGGAGATCAGCGGCAATGTCACCAACATTACCGTCAGTGGGAGGAATCTAATAACAACTTTATCCTGTTTGCCCTGTACCTGATGTAAATTATTCTCACGTCAGTCTGATAGTCCACTCTGCTCTTGTGTGATCCAGGGGGCTCAGATCAATGAGGCAGCTTGTGACCTGGCCAGGAAGGTAGCCAATGAGGGTGATGCATTGGTCGCTGGGTGTGTGTCCAAGACTCCCTGTTATGTGAAGAGCCACAGTGAGACTGAAGTCAAGGCCATCTTTAAGAAACAGATGGACGACTTCCTCAAGAAGGACATTGATTTCTTTATAGTGGAGGTATGAGCCGCACTAAGAGGAATAACTACAACAGTTGATAATGTGCTTAAGTTCAGTGTTTATCACTCCCGCAGTTTGTTGATCATGTGGAAGAGGCAGTGTGGGCAGTGGAGGTGCTGAAGACCAGCGGTAAACCAGTGGGTGCAACACTGTGCATCTCCCCTCAAGGAGACATGCAAGGAGTCCCACCTGGAGAGTGTGCTGTCAGACTGGTCAAAGCCGGTAAACTGGCCCTCTGTGATGTGGTACTTCAAGTTGGCAATAATGAAATCATGTTTTTGGTGTACTATCTGAATATGTTCTTTGTGTATGTGTTCATGTGCAGGAGCTGACATTGTTGGAGTAAATTGCCATTTGGATCCTCTGACGTGTGTTCGTACCGTGAAGTTGATGAAAGCAGGATTAGAGAACGCGGGTCTCAAAGCTCATCTCATGGTCCAGCCACTGGGCTTTCACACACCTGAGTGCAACTTCGGTGGATACACCAGCCTACCTGAGTACCCCTTCGGTCAGTATTTGAATAATACTTTTGTGCAGAATAAAGAAAAGACATCTCATAGTATCAATAACGACATTATCCATATAGTTATAACCACTGATTAATATTCATAATGGTCACCTACTGACATTTATTTTGCATGGATCATAGTTGTAATTCATTATATTTTTGTATCACAATCACTGTTATATATAATGTGATTACAAATTACTCTAAGTGGTCATTAGTAAAGTGAACATTAGTTTTACGTTTGTAGGTCTCGGATAGATTTATTGATTATGTTTTTCACTTTACTTAATATAAACAATGACTACTTAGATTACCTTTAAATAAAGACTTCCCGTGACATTCTGTGGTGCACATCGGTGATCTCAGTCTACGGCTTAAGGTGCTCTGAAATGACTTCGGTCTGGCATTCAGGGGATGAGAGGCATTGTCCAGAATACTGAGTACTTCCCTCAGCATCCTCCTCTCTGACACAGACTCCAGTTCCACTCCCAGAACAGCACAGTTCCCTGAGGTGCCCCCGTACTGCTCACTATCTTGTTGGACATATTGCTCTGCAGCCTCACAAACCTTGGCCGACCTGTAAGGTAGTTGCTGAACCAGGCCACTCGTGAAGCAGCCACATTCATGTCCAGTAGCTTAGTCCTGAGCAGGGCCGGTCCCGGTCTTATGGTGTTAAAAGCCTGCCTCTTCCATGTGAGTATAAGCTCTGTGCAGCAGAAAGATGATGGCATCTTCCACTCCAATGTGGGGCTGGTAGGCAAACTGCAGAGTCCAGAGATGGCTCCAGTAATGAACGGTGGTGCTTCAGGACCAGCCTCTCCAGTGACTTCATGACATGGGAAGTCAAAGCCACTGGTCTGTAGTCACTGAGGGTGTTTGGCTCAGGTTGAAGATGTACTGAAAGACCCCGCACAGCTGAGCAGCACATCCTTTGATCACTCTTTGAGCACTTAACTGGTATTTTATAAACTGTATTTTTGTATATTTAGGTATAAGCTGAATAAGTGTAGAGCTCATGTGTTGCTACCTTTTTTTAACTCCCCATAGCAGTTTGATGAGAGCATCAATATATAAAAACACTCGGATATAAATATTTTATTCTCCTCTCAGCATTGGAGACCAGAGCAATGACCCGCTGGGACATCCATCAATATGCCAGAGAGGCTTACAATGCTGGAATTCGCTACATTGGTGGCTGCTGTGGATTTGAGCCCTACCATATCAGAGCTATAGCAGAAGAGATGGCTGCAGAGACAGGAGTCCTCCCACCAGCTTCAGAGAAGCATGGACTCTGGGGAGCTGCCCTGGAGATGCACACTAAACCCTGGGTCAGAGCCAGGTAAGACCGAACAGAACAATTGCTGCTTTTTTTTGATTTGTCTTTGTTTTTACAAAAGACAGCCACCAGTATAGTAAGACGTGACATTTACACAAACAAATGATATAACAAATGAGAAACAGGATAACTGTGGAAAGTGTTTGTTTCTGCACTGCACAGCTGTTGATTTACAACTGATACCAAAATTTGTCTTATAGGTCTCGTCGGGAATACTGGGAAAAGCTTTTACCTGCTTCTGGACGTCCCAAATGCCCTTCCATGGCCACACCAGCTGATGAATAATAAGGCTCATCAATAGCAGGAATAAAATACATTTTACCACAAGCCTGTTTCTCTATTGCAATATTCTGTGTAGTAAAATCGGACTATGCTGTATTCCATATGACTGACCAGATTAAAAAAATCTCATAACTGTGAACTATCACTGAAATTAATATATTTTACATAAAAACAAAGCTTGTATTTTTGCTAATCACTGCATTTATTATTTGTGAGACATCCTCACAAGCTTATGTTGATGGATTGCGAGATTTTTCATGTTAATAAAAACAAAGATCTGCAATATTTCTAACAATGTTGATTTGTTTTACAGGCCGGAGTCTCTTCTCTCTCACTCTGTGCCTCACACGCGGCTCATTTCACATGTTACTCATTACAAGCCTGTGAGTTATATAACACTGAATCAAGTCAGGTTAAGTAAGGAGACCCTTGCCTGACCTTTACCCTGATTCAGCCATAGTAATAATAAAAATTGTTCATTTACCACTGCGTCCTCACCCTCGAGTTCACCGAGATTAGAAGAATTCGAATAGCTGAATTCAGAGTCCAAAGGTCGTGGTCATCCTTTCGATTGAGTTTGTCAAGTTGTTTGTCTGTTTGTCAGCACCATTAAGGAAAAAAAGTACTGGCCCTCTTTTCATGACACCTGGTGGAAGGATGGAGCATGGGCCAAGGAAGAACCCATCACATTTTTGGAGCATATTGCCCTTCTAGGTTATTCATTCACTGGTACTTATGCATTCCTTAAATTATTTACCTGTTTTATTCAAATACATATAAGTAGGAAGCTTTACTGATGTATTTCAATTACTCTACATTTGTTGCGGCGCATTCATACTGAAAATGGGTTTAAATAGTGAATTTATGGTTCGGTATGAACTAACATGTGTAAGCCACACAGCCTCAAAAGCAGGAGGTTTAACTGAGATTTAAACTTGGAATGCTGGATTCAAAGTCGAGGGTGCTAATACACAAAACCAAGACCATATCAAAGTCACTTTAACTTTTGAGAGTCATATGCTCTTCATTTGGCTTTTAAAAGTTGCCAAATGAGATGAATTATATGCTAAATAGAAAAAAAGTGTAGTCTAATTGTGAATTAAATGTGGCTCGTGAAAGTAGGCTAGGCCTACTTGTAATCAGTGGCTCATCAAAGCAGATTCAAACTATGTTGGAACCCATTAAGCATTTACCATAGCGTCATTGTAAGTGATGCACCCTGGTGAGAGATTGACTTTCATCTGTTTCAAGGCTGTGACCATTAAAGGGAAATACAATTTGCCATTTCTGACCTCTGAAACAGTCAATATGTGGAAACAATAAAAACTCAACTGCTCTCTCCCACACCTAATTTTACCAGATGGCTTGAGACATCTTTCTGTGGATACTTTACAATTTAAATGTCACATTTGAGCAGCATTTTTATTATATTTGTTTCAGGATTTCTTTTATTTTTGTGTATTCATCTATTTTTGTAAACAGTTGTTTTTAGACTACATCTTGTCAATAATGCATTAACCTTTATAATGACTGGTAAACTGGTTTATATACTTCATGGCCTTCAGCAGTAGACATTTTTAATGAGATGAATGCACGTGAGTTAACGCCATCACATCGCTCATGGTAGGCCTACTATGTAATTCGATAATTAAATCCGTCATTCATAAACTTTTGGCTTTATATATATATATGCATTGTATTAATACGATTACTTTCTGAAAGCTTTATATGAATGCATATTGTTTTCAATGCTGCAGCTACTCTGCAAAGCATCCCTTACTGCTTAACGTCAGCACGTCTCTACGTGCCCTGCTGAACTTGAGATACTAATGTTGCCTTCAAATGCTCCTCGGACTCACGAACTCAATCTGCTCTTAGAAGTATTTTACAAACTGCACCTCAACTGTAATTTATTTTCAATTTATCTAATAATACTACGGTTTATTAAACGGGTTATGGTAATAGCAACAATATGGTGAAGGCTGGTAAAACTGTAAAAAACGTAGCTTGGTTTTTTTTCTGCCTGTAAATTCCGATATTTCTTACAGCACGTGAAGCCAACGTTATTATTTTGCGTCTGTGGGCTTCTTGGGCAAACGATGAAGAAAACATGGTGATGTTATGAGTTTGGAGACGATGCTAACCTTTCAGAAGATATCAATATAAAAACAAATATCCTTGTCACGCGTTTTCATGCCTCAGCTTGCTGTATTTGAACAATGTACGCAGCTGTTGTGGGGATGGTTACTTTGAGATGAGAAGAGAGGTCTGGAGCCGAGAGACCGAGAATAACGGAACACAGCTGACCTGGTAAACAAACAGTCGCATGTTATGTGTCAGAGTTGAGTCTTGTATGGTTGCAGGAGGTTGGGATAGGCAGACATCCAGTGGGCCAGAGGATGTAAAATGACACCGCACTGCTCCAAATTCATCCGCTTGAGCGAAGGAGGATAACCCTTCAGGCAAAATATCGGAGAGAAAACAGTGTTTGTTAAACGCTGTTTTATCACAATAAACACATAACATTTCACTGTATCCGGCTCTCAAACAGTGCCAAAGGAGGGTTTTTGTCGGCGCGAGCAGTGTTATTGCTTTTATTCCATCGCAGACATGTCCTTCACGATGGAGGATAGTGTGGAGTCGGGATGGGTGGCCGTCCGACCAAATGCGTTTGAGGAGAGGGAAAGGCATAAATTTGTTTTTATCGTCGCCTGGAATGAAGTGGAGGGTAAATTTGCCATTACGTGTCACAACAGGACGGTGCAGAGGAGAAGCTTTGGTAGGGAAACACTACCGACTGGTCGGGATGTGGACCAAACAAAATGGCCCGAAAGTCCCGTCAGAGATAAAGTATCTAAGAGCCCTAGCAAAGGAGCCAAGGAGGCTGTGGTTAAAGGATGCAGCCCTAAGAAGTCCGTGACAGCAACAAAATCAAGTGCTGTCAAAATTCAAACTGTGACTAAATCTGCAGCATCTCCCATTAGTCCTGATAACGAGGTGCTGAGATCACTAAGAGAGGACCTCTTGTCCCCCTCACTGGATAGCTTGGACCTGGAGGAAATGGACTTTCTGAGCAGGGAGGACTGCAGCTGGGCCGGACTCTTCTCCTTCCAGGACCTCCGGTCGATTCACCAGCAGCTGTGCTCGGTGAACTCGGACCTGGAGCCCTGTCTCCCGGTGTTTCCGGAGGAACCAGCCGGTATGTGGACGGTGCTGTTCGGCCAGGCGGAAGTACCCGAGACCGAAATGGATGAGCTTTGCTACAGTTTACAGATGTACCTCGGCCACGTGCTCGATACGTGCGGATGGAAGATCCTTTCGCAGGTTCTGTTCACGGAAAACGACGACCCAGATGAGTACTATGAGAGCCTGAGCGAGCTGAGGCAGTCCGGCTACGAAGAGGCGCTCAACCGTGCAACAAAACACCTGCAGGAGGTGAGTGAGTTTTAGTGACAACCCCCCCGTGTATCTCCATGACTTTATCAGCTTCTATGAACATAGTCTGTGCTTTATATTTCTATGTAACTCACAATCACACAGTCTGTGTGACCTGACCACAGTCTCTGATGTGCTGACCAGACCAACTGGGCTGCTTTAGACTTTGCAGTACCAAAATGGTTTTGTGGACGTGTGATGCACCATTCATTTGAGGTAGACAGGTACACATACTTAATATATTTCAACCAATTGAAAACAAACCAATGCAGCATAGAGAAGAGGGGTAAACTATAACTGTGTTGAGGATGTTAACTTACCCCAATCACTAAAATAATTGTATTTTAAGCATTCATTATATATTTTCTTATTTGGGAAATGTTAATAAGATGAATAATCTTAGACTAATATGATATATATTATTTCTTCACACACACATTGTCTTACTATGTGGACTATCCAGTAAATGCATGTCACATAATAAATTATAAAAATGAATGGCTGCAACACCACAATCTAACCTCTATCAGCGAAGAAGAGACAAAAATATACAGACAAGACCGTAAACTATTGCACACAGATGAGACAGCTGACAGGGATACTGTCTCCATTATGTTTTCATTATAAAATAATTATCTTGGTAATTCAGTGGACAGACCAATTAACTGGATCGTCAGTTAGAGAAAGGAAGAATTTGTCAAATTAGGTTGTAACTAAAGTAAGTTCTCTGAGGAATATTAAACTCTCAGCATGGCTGCTGCCTGCTGCTTACACAGCTGAGAGTCAAGTGCGTAAACAGACACACACACACACTCACACACACACACACACACACACACACACCCTCACACACACACATCAAGCACTTCATTCCTTTTAGAATGAACCTGTTGATGTAATGCGCATTCAATGTGACAGCACTGCTGCTCACAGGTTGCTGCCTAAACCGGTCTCATTCACTGCGTGGGGGACAGTCACATATGATTATAAAGGAAAGCTCAGGGAAACATGTGTGTCCTGCTCTTTAACGGAGGTGGGGTGGTACTTTTTGAAAGCACATTTGATAAAGCATATATCTCAGCAGGATGAGCCAGTCACAAACAGGGCGGGATGCCACCAAGACCCACTGTCAACATCTAGCTGTAGTGTCCTTATTATTCAGAGTATCGTCGGTTTTAGTGGTTATTTATAAATAAAGACTCAAGTAACACACTATATTTAAATTTGTGATGATATTGAGTCACTTACTGTAATATAGGATGTTATATAGCCGATGTCTCTTTTGTTCTTGTACTGTTAATTGCAGAAATGGACAATAATTTTTCAACAAATCTATGTATATAATTGTCATAAATACTGATAGATTTGTTATTGCTATAATATTTTTAAAATAACATATTTATTCAACAGCATTCAGTACAAAAACAAAAAAAACAAGAATACATACATACTATAATACTTATGATGTGTGTAAAAAAAGGCAGATTTTTGACGATCTGTGGTAGTGAATATTAGTTCTACATGCATTTTATGAATTGTTATAAAATATGTCTTGAAGTTATAATATTAATAAACATTTCTGTGAAACACTTAAAATATAATCAAACAATAGCACTGCTTTGACATGACAGACATAATCCAGACACCATACCATATACACACAAGGCCTGCTCCTTTTACACATCAGCAACAGCTGATTGATTCACTGCTCTTATTATAAACAGACATTCTATTGATACTCACTGGCTCTCACATAGTTCTACCAACCAATGGGGCTCGATTGATGCCGCCTTGACTTATGGAGCCAGAGAGTGCAAGAAGTCCTCTGAGAGATCAGGTGAGAAAGAGCATTAATGGAGGAGTTTGCATTATTAGCATCACGGCGTCACTGCTGACCAAGGTCTCTCAGGTCGGCTGACCAGTTGCTCCTTGTTGTCCCTCGATCGAGGTCGAAGCACAGAGGAGACCGGGCCTTTGCAGCTGTAGACCCTGAACTCAGGAAGGAGTTGCCTCTGCGTGTTAGGCTGGCCATGACACTGCCTGTTTGTAAATCCGGTCTTAAAAGACATTTTCATTCTCTGGCTTTTAACTTACTATGAGAGCTTCCATTCTATACTACGGTCTTTTGTCTTTTAAACATGTCATTTGTGTAGCTATGTTCTGATTGTACAGCACTTTGGTCAAATGTTTATAAATGTGCTTTAAAATAAATGTAGGTTGGATTATAGCGGAGGGTACATCGACTTTGTATTTATTTATCACAATTATCAAAAAAATATGTGAGTAAAGTAAAAATACTTACTCTATTTTACGCTTACACCGAACATGACTCCAGCAGTACAGCAAGGTCACAGTATAATACGTTTTAAATCTGCTTGTATGTTAACTGTCTTTGCAAAAGTAAGAAAGAGTCAAGAGACTACATCCATGTATAGTGATGAAAGCGTTTCCTTTTGCAGTGAAAAGAGGCTGTGAGCAGCATAAACGAATCACCCCCAGTCCGTTGTACACCCACAGAAACACACACACCCAAAACAAAAAGACAGAAAACCAGAGGCAGGAAATTAATGCTGCCCTTCCTGAGAAAAAGCAGCCCAAACTAATTTGCTTCAATAAGTGTCAGTCACTGAATGGGATGTTAAGTTTATTTGAAGGTGTATTCATTCTGAAAATGGAGGAAGAGTTACTCATCATATTCAGCTCTCTAACATGGCAAATGTACTTACTGTACAGGAGCTTATTCAAACACAGTCGCTGTTTGTTGTGTTGTAGGATTGTAAATATACACACACACACACACACACACACACACACTGGCCTATTGATCCTCCCTCTCCATTTGAGTTAATGGCTATTTCAGTGCTTGCTGGTAGCCTGCAGGATTGTTCACTCCGGCAAAAATGTGTGTGTATTGATCTTATTCCCAGCAGCAGCAAGGACTCTGCTCTCTCAGCCATGAGACTGCACTCACACAGTATATACTCCTATTATTTACAGCTTCACAAAGGATCCTCTTACTCTCACAGCAAGTTTACATTCACTGCCGACGGACACTAAAAGATGTATTGAAGAATGTTCTTCTGGCTTTTGCATGCTTGTGAGGGGTTGATAACACAGATGTTGGCCTTCTGCTCAACTACATTTTTCTGATTTGTACGTAACAGACACTTGAAAAAATATACATCATATTATTAATCAAGGTGCTTCCAACTATCTTAATGTTTGTTTGTTTGTTTCACACTACATTCAATGTGGATAACAATGGATGCCTTATTAACAAGGCCTTACATTACAGAGATTGTAATTTATCTGTTCTGATATTCTGAAAGTTGTTTGTTGACAATGATACAATTACCTTCCTGTGTGTGCATGTAATGCAGCTGCTGGAGAAGCACAAGACCATGGACAGCATGGTGGAGCTGTTGGAGCTGTATAAGGAGGAAGATGAGACCTGTGGAGGACTGCTGGAGGCCTCCACACAGCTATACCAGTACCTGCTGCAGCCCTTCAGAGACATGAGGGAACTGGCAATGCTACGCAGACAGCAGATCAAGGTAACAATTTCTACCAGATAAAACTGCACAGAAGAGGGTGAGGCGTCCTTTCTATTCTTCATATTTTTGGGGGATTTGTCTCGGTTTGGGCCCAAATCCGTGGGCCCAGTAATTAGCCGAAACTTCTGTGGCATACAACCAAGCAACTCAGTTCTCACACACAGATGGCCAGCTTATTTCAGAAGTGACAAATGGTGTGTACTATTGGTGACAAGATGAGCAATATAACTAAAAAGTTAATGTTTGTAATGTTTATGGTAGTTTGACCCAATAATTTGAATGCATTATTTTTTCTAGGAAGCTGGCAACTATGCAGGCAGGCCTAGATTTAGTGATGTATTTATCTACAGGCACCAACATGGAACAGTCATAAAACACAATGGATCGCCACAGGAAATTCACATGTCTCTTAAAATAGAGTTTGCTCTGTGCATGTTTGACTATGATGTATTGTGAAATATGAATGCTCTTGTATATTGTGATTAGATGTATAATGGCCAGTGAAGCAGTGGGAGGGTGATGAGATGTGTCTTATGTGTCTTATTGCAAAGAGAAGATGGAGGCTGGTGAATGGATGGGTGGAAAGAGGAAATAATTATTGCAGTGCTGTTGGCTCATTTATATTTAGCTCACTGACTCATAATGAAAATACTTCAGTATCACATTATATAACATCCATCAATAAAGAAGCATATTGACATATATATACAGCACACACACACACACACACACACACTTATATTCTTGTGTTCAAAAGATCCGGGACACTTTTCTCGTCAGTCTACAATAACATGCTCGGCATCGCTGGAAACTCCGAGCTCTCTGAGTCACCTAAACGCTCCATGAGTCGAAACACACAACGTCAGCTAATAACGGAGGAATGAAGCACACTGACGTAAATCTATGTTCTTGCCAAAAGATTTAACCAAATATCGTGTTATTTTTTGTCAATAACGGCAGATTGTGATTACTTACAGTTCCACAGTGAGGCTTGGGCCAATGGGAATTCGCAGTGCGTCTCAGAGAGGAGTGCACATTTCTTGTCAGAAAGGGTTTAATCAACAAACAACTTATTTTTTCCTAAACCTAACCAAGTAGGTTTGTTGCCTAAATCTAAGGAGATTTATGGCAGAAGGCCCTGAAGGTAAACTCCGTCCGTCTGCAGGAGGAGCTACCTTTATCAAGTTAGGCTGACTTGCCCTGTAGAGAGCTCCGGCTGTTAAATGATGGTACATTAATTATGTTTTTGGGACAAGTTGTAGTAAAGAGTAGTTGAAAACATCCAGTGCATCATTATCCATGGGACCTTGGTTTTAATGACGATATTGCCTTTGGAATTTAGATTATTTACTAATCGAGCATAAAAATCTTATATTTTCATATAATGCATCTCTATTTGCTTTGCAATAGTAATAGAGATAATCTTACTTACAGTGGATTTATATTCCATGGCTTCTTACCATTCGAAGAGACCATTACTGATTCATTTTGGATAAGTTATTTTAGTCGTTTTTATTTTAGGGCTAGGGCTTAACATAGCCACAGCTAGTTTAAACCCGGCAAGCTGGCATTTAGCTGCTGATTGATTCTGAAACATTTTTTATAAGAAACTAAGAGATTTGTTATGAATTAATTTGACCATCTCGTGTGTGTGTGTGTGTTAGTGTGTGTGTGTGTGTTTGTCTGAAGGGGCTTCGTAGTTGGCCTTAAACCGCACTGTCTGAAACAGTTGTGTGCTGCTGCCGTTGGGGGTTGAGTGACATACTGTGAGCTGGAATGGAGCCCCATGGATCTCCAGTTCCCCACAGTCTCACATGAATAAGTCATGTTGTGTGTGGTCCTATAGGTTTACTGCAGGATGATGCTGTGCGGGTACACTGACATCAGCAGGCCTGCAGCAGACATTGAGAGATGGAAGGCAGAGTTAGAGAGGAGGGGCTGAATAAATGTTCCTAATTCCAGTTTTACTTGGAAGGTGAGACACATTGTGAGTGTAAACAGGGTGTTATGTCATTTATCAATATAAGTGAAATCTTGTAACAAAAGAGGTAAATAATTAAATTAATATTAAGTATTAAAGGAAAGGCCAATAAGGCAGATTGTCCCTGCCCCCCCAAAAAAATCATATTTAGGATAATTTGTGACAAATGTTTATTTCCATCACTTTGTAATGACAACTTTTTTAATACCTTCCTAAATTTAATTTCTGATACAATATCATCAGGACTAAATGAAAGAGGTGTGTTATCAATCAAATGGCAATGGGAACTATAGTCCAACTCATAACATTTGTTTGATTTGGAGAGAATCAGATTCTTATTTTGTGTAACTGAACTCAATTATATACTGTATATATATATATATATATATATATATATATATATATATATATATATGAACAGCCTATATGTGTTTTGCCTAATTATTTTATGTAAGTAAAAAAGAAAATTCTTTTCAGGAAAAAGTACTGTTTATTGTTTGTTACTTACCACTACATTGGTATAAATTCTTATTAGATCATGTGTATATATACAAAATTTAATTTATGTATATATATATATATATATATATATATATTAGGAACATATATATATATATATATTTTATATATATATTATTTAGCTTGAGTGTGTTTCCTCTCTATAGGAACAAGATGTTTAGTTAATGACTGTCATTGTCTATTTCTAAGCTAAGAATATTGTTCTATGATGTCATACAATGTCCACCTCTTATTGTTGTATAATTTAGAAACTTCAACGCAAAGAAGACAAATTGTAAAATGTCAGGTCCTACCGAGATTTGAACTCGGATCGCTGGATTCAGAGTCCAGAGTGCTAACCATTACACCATAGAACCACATATTGACGCAGAGGGGCGTGGACAATTATATTGATACTTCCGGGTCTAGGCATAACTTGTAGTACCCGCAGTTTAGGGGCAGCATGGCTTTCTGTTGCTCTTCATCTGAAATCCCATAGTTGTGGGGTTTTCTTTTCTCTCGCTGTACGGAGGTGTGTTATATCATAATGCTTTTCAAACTATAAGTACAATAAATAGTTTTAATAAAAAAAATGTGATGTGATATGGGGAGGGAGAAAGAAAAGACGACAGCGAAATGGTGTGAGCTGTAAAACAGTAATTTTCAATTGACAAATTAAGAGGGCCATTGAATACAAAGAAAGAGGATTCTGCTCTGTCATACAACAAGATGAAATGCTGACAACAAACTATAAGATTAACAAAGAAAATATGATAAATATTGAATATATCTTTGACAGCAATCATGAATCCCACACTTATAATTGAGGTAGCATGTTTTTGGAGCGCTACAGTAACGCAAATCATCAGATTCCAAGCTAACAGGTCTAAAATTAAACTTTGTACAGCAATGCAGAAATAAATTCAAAACCGCAGGAATGAGCACTGGCAACCTGACAGCAGAAAATCGCAGTGGTAAATGATACTGCTGCACTGCTGAGTAGTGCAGGGTGAGCTGAGGTGCAGCGAAGTTACTCAGGGTCAGACAGGGATGCAGCCCTGTAACCTTCAACTTTCAATTATTTGCAATATCAATCTCCTATGTTCCATCTAAATGGTGGTTGTGCTTTTATAAGTTAGTTGAAAAATGGTTTGTATGACAAAATGGTGTTTGTACTGGTGTCTGAATGACGGTTTGAATGATAAAAGTACTGCATAATGCTTCCATATACGGGAGTGTGGCTCCCTCTCCAGGCCTACCTTCTCTGGTGTAACCATTGAGATCCAGGTTCCTCATAGCGTGAAGCCATTTAAGTCAGACAATCTTTCTATACAACATGTGAAGGGGCGATTGACTCTACTGTCATGTAACCCACCACCTAATGACTCCTGAGTATTCACATATCTATCACTGTTTGTTTTCTCCTTTTTTGTTAAGCCCATTTACTCCTGCCACATTCGGCTCTGAACCACCTCTGAATCTCAAATGAAGCAGTGTATCTCTTGGGTGTGGAATTTTATGAATGTGCCTCTAACAGGCATTGGCTGTACTGTCACCTCAAATTAAAAAAATTGTATACCACTATCTCCACATCCACATCCATGTTTTAATATCCGCATTAATATATATAACACAGGCTGTACATATTGTTAGTGTGTATAATTTATATTTCTTGATCTTTATTTTTTCACAAGATAAATCTTTTCCATACTCCTTCACTGAGGCTTGTCGTGCGTAGCCTTGTTCATCTTCTCTAAACAGATTTCCATGGAGAATGACTACTTGGGCCCAAGGAGGATTGAAGCTCTAAAAAAAGAGGACTTTGACTGGCAGAAGAAAGCTCAAGAGGCCGTCCTCAACATCCAGGAGTTTACTATAAAATACTTTGAGATCACTGCCAGAGCCCAGAAAGGTACAGTATGCCATCACTGTCACTGCCAATGTCAAGTCAATACATCAGCAGAGGACTGACTTTGAATAATCACACACAGCGCACACACACAGTGGAAGCATTGGCCTACTATTGACCTGTGTGTGGTTGTGAACACCAGGGCTAATGTGATTTAGTACTAATGAGGAAGTGCAGACAGCCATGGTTTGACAGGGACAGGAGGAAACAAGGACAACCTATTGATCAAACAACTCTGCCAGCGGATTGTCTCTGTGCAGAGTTACTCCACACTGTGCCCCTGCTTATCTCACTTTTTCCCCACAACTGATTGGTCCATTTATGATCTGACACTTATTAGATAAAAAATCAGGTAAGTGAGTGATTTCAAGTGAAAGAAGGTGCTATGTCCAAATGTGGCCAATAGATGTCTCCCTCTACATTACTGTCATGAAGCGTCACTTTTAACTGTGTGGAAGTTTCACGCAGTCACTGGCCATTGCCTTTTCTGTTTGTGTGTGTGTGTGTGTAGGGGTGTATGAGCGTATGAAGGTGGACCAGCGTAAGTTTGGTAAATCCTCATGGACAGCAGCGGTGGAGCGCATGGAGAGACTCCGCTACTCTGTCGCCAAAGAAACACTGCAGCTCCAGAGAGCCAGGGAGATCTGTCTGGAGCAGAGGAAACGCACACTTCGAGAGGAGGTGTGGTAGTAACACTCAACACCGTACAAAACACACAAACACACAGGTTTTTTTTGGGTTGAGTTTTTTGTCCCGTCCCCTCCAGATGCAGAGTCTGTGTAGCAGTAAAGATGCCATGGCCCTCTTAGACCACATGGAGACACAGTACTATGAGCGCCAGCTCCAACTGTACGACATCCAGGCTGAGATACTGCAGTGTGAAGAGCTGCTCCTCACCGCTCAACTAGACAGCATTCGCAGACAGATGTCAGGTATTTGGGTTGAATTCACACGCTACTTTGAGTCCTGACAAGACACTACATTTCACAAATGATTCTGTTCTGTTGAAAGTGCAAGAACCTGCTACAAGACAGTCTGAATGAATACTTTATGGCTAGTGTCTGTCAAACACATGAGAGACCTGTACTTGTGTATCCACACAAGTCTTTATATTTATAAATGTGTGTTTCAGAGTTTCAAGATGAGGTGGTGTACTATGACACCTTCGAAAGTGCAGATGATATAAAAGAGGACAATACTGCAGAGAGAGAAGAGCTGCGCAGACTTCAGGTCAGCGGTCGTCAGCTGGAGGCGAGAAGGGGGCGCATCACTGCCAAGCGCTCCTATCTGAGGAACAAAAGGGTGTGTGCACTTCATTCACATTCACACTTTTTTGCATTCCCGAAGTATATCCAGTATTCTACACACTGTTGGTGCATACTATTGAAAATGTGGAATGGAGTGTGTAGTCTGCATTTTGTTTGATTGGGCTTCATATCTGAGCAGACGTGACCCTTGACCCCTGCTATATCGCAAAAAAACATATTGCATCAAGAAACAGCTAAAAATATGCATTTGAATTGGAGTTGTCAGTATGTATGATGCTGTGTCGATGAGTGTGTTGACGTTTTCTTTCCTCCATTCTTATTGCAGGAGATCTGTGTATCTAACCATAGTCAGAAGCAGCAGACACGTCAAACCATCCAGAAGGACTCCATATCCCACCAGGTCTTACATGTAGATGGTTCATTTTTATTTAATAACATGACTACTGTAAAGCATTGTCAGTAACATTCTCCTCTAAACCTCTACATTTGTCAGCTGAAAAATGAAGAAGAGGAAGACGAGGAAAAGAAGAATAGCAGAGTTAGTCAGGAGAGGCAGAGAACTCTAGACAGACTACGCACTTTCAAGCAGGTATGTGCCCTCCTATTTTCGTAAATATCAATATAACACTTTTAATTTTTTTCTCACTGATCGACTTCCCTGTCTCGCTGTGTCTTTATCTAGCGGTACCCAGGTCAGGTGATTCTGAAGTCCATTCGACTACGCGTGGCCCACACCAGAAGAAGAGAGCGTGGAAGGAGCATGGGAATGAGTAGTTTGAGTGAGAGGGAGGAGCATGTGGACTGTGTCCAAGCGCGCGGTCACCCGCTGTGTCTCAGTACCAGTGTGCAGACGGACCCCAGCTCCACACTCACCACTCAGCCTGTCACAGTCCTCACAGCATCCCTTCCTCCTCTGCCTGTGCCCAGTCCTGTAGACTCCTCCTGCTCTCCCTGCTCCCTGTCCTCACTACTGGCATCCCCCATGTCCCCTCCTCCTCCACCTCCCCCTCCACCTCCCCTGCCAATTAAGGAAGAGCTTTTGCCTTCTGGGAGCCCAGCCCGGCATGGGCAGAAGGTTGAGGGGAAGAATGCAGCAGAAGAACTCTCCCTCTGCCCACTTGGTCCATTTATGCCTCGCTTCTTTGACAGCAGCCAACTGTTGAGTGCCCGTAAAAAGCTGAGGAAGACTCCAGAGTTTGACTCCGACAGCAGAAGAGGTACTGGAACCATTTAGTACCATAGTAGGCTCTTAGATTAGCAAGTTACAGTAGCTCATCACAGTTTGTCTCCCTCTTCTCTTCCTGTATGCAGTGAGCTCGCCCATGGACGAGGTGCTAGCCTCCCTGAAGAGAGGCACCTTCCACCTGAAGAAGGTCGACCAGCGGTCTCTGCTTCCTTCCACGGACGACGATGACCCCAATAGCATCCTGGCTCAGATCAGAAAGGGGGTCAAACTGAGGCGCGTCCCCAGGAACGAGAGAAAGGACAATGGAGAGCTCCCGGCCTCCACCGACCCTCTGACCAGGAGCATCCATGAGGCGCTGCGCCGCATAAAGGAGGCCTCACCAGATTCTGACTCAGACGACGACGGGCTGGCCGCCCATGACTGGGATAGCTAGGGTTCAACCCTCAGAAGCAACAACTAATACACACACAGATGGCTGCACACTCTAACACTGAACACACTGTACTGTAATGTACTGTAAAGTGCTGCATTGTACTGTACACACACACACACACACACACACAGTTACTTATTCACGTTACACTTTACAGTTACTTATTCACTTTAGCATACACAGCCCAGTCACACATAGTGACTATGCCATTGCCCGAGTCATACTGAATATCACCAACTGCTCCAAAAGGCTATGGTCAACCCGTTCCATTTGTTTTTCACACTACATTCACCATCATGACAGATATCATTCGTGTTTTTATTTCTACTGTATGTTACTGTGGTTTTATTCCTGTATTTAGATTGTGATGTTGTAAAGCTCTGCACTGGCCTTTTGTGGCTACATTAACATTCAGAAACGGCACACAACACATTTACGACTGACAGTTATTTGTGAAACTGAAAACCTCATACAAAAAGCTATTTGTGCCGAGTGTGAGATGTGTGATTTTTTTCCACTCGCTCCAGAGCATAAAAGTGAAAAACTTTAACTGTAACCCAACTACGTAATGGGTATGATTGATAACTTGGGGTCATGTGGGAGATTGAAAAACAAATAGAAGATCCTACTGAGATTTGAAGTGGATTTAATGTCCAGATTTTAAACCATAACACAATCACCTCTGCTGAAGCTCTCTTCTATTTTTTACTAATGTACTATGACTGAACCACACTACTGTATGCTGCACAGCTGGTTTTGTCCAGTCACATGTGGGTGTGTTAGTGTCCGACAGGACCACTGCTTGTCTAACCTGACTCTGCACAAAGACTGCAAATCCTTTACTCCGTCACACCAGACTTGTGCCCCTCCCCCGCTCTTGTCTCCTTGCGACCTTCACCAACCTCAACTCTCACCATCTCTCTGGCTGAGAAAAAATGTATCAACCCATCTGTTCGACCGCAACATATGGCCAGGCTGGTGGGAGATATGGAGATTCACAGTAGGCTTATCATTTGGTGCCGAAACCAACAACATCTCTGAGCAGAAGCTGGCCCACCTAGAGTAGGAGAGGATTAGATAGATGAAGGGTCACCTGCAGAGATGCAGAGGTTCTTTAGCGGGGTGGAGGTCATGGTTAGTGTCAGTCATCTTGGTAAAGTGTGGGCAGACTTGGTTGGTGATTCCCAAACTTCGTATGTGGGATAGTCACGGCAGAGCTGTGAAACTATTCACTCTCGTTTGAATGATGGATGGTTTGTGGGAGGCTAGATTCTCTCAGCGCTGTAGGGAGTCACTGTGGGCTGAGGAGCAGGCAGGCGTGATGGATGTGGTTTCTGCTTCCATCTTGTTCACTTACTCTCCTCTCCTCTCCTCTATTGCGTATTTTCTAATTTCTTTCACAGCACTCAGTGGACAGAAGCACACAGTAGGAGGTCTGTTACTCACAGTGCTAGAAGTGAAAACATGTTCATGCACACATGGACTCACACATTAAACTCACGGCCAACATGTGCAGAAACATTTTAGTGGCAAAGTGAGTCCACAGCCTCTACCCATAAGTCTTACATGAAAGTATTTCAGCACTTTCATGGTACATAGTACAAACTCTGAATCACTTTATCTGTACAGTAACAACTTTTTTTTTGAATCACTGGTGAAACATATCTGCTGTAGATGAGTCTGTTTAAAAGCATTGAACATGTGAAACTGCACCTACAGAGGTGTGATGGAAGGACAGTATGAGAGGACCTGTGGAGAGGTTTTATCAGCAGAGGAATTTACGCTAGCATACATGTTAACATGAAGCAAAAAGATGTGAATTCATAAACACATCTCTGAGTCTGAAACAGCCCCGGTATGCACCGTCTCAAAACACTTTGATGCAAAGATTTGTGCTTTTTCTCGTTATTGTGTTGAGACGTTCTCGGTTTAATCATGAACGGGCACTCATGTAGAAAGAGCAGGCATGGACGTATATGTCACATTTATTCAGCTTGAAAATAGCTCAGTGCTAAAGAGAGTTTATTGTTTTCCTGGCAGACCAAACCTGAGGCACTTTTACATGTCTCCTGTCACTGTCAGCACTATATGTTCGTCTATGGTGTCCTCATTATGTAGCATGAGTCAGAGATCTAACCCTGACCTGACTCTAAACTTAGACCTGACTTGATGTCACTATAACTGATCAGGGCAGAGTTTCCCAAAAGATGTTAGCGCTAATGTTTACGTTGTTCCACTAAACAATGACCAACAAAGTGCTCACAATTTTGGGAAACTGGGCTCAGAATGTGACACCATGGCCATGAATCAACTATCTATCACCTGGCTAATGTTAGAAACACACTGTTATGTTTTACACCGATCTTTATCTATAAATAATCTTAACACAGATAATTGTCAGCCAACTGTAATTTTACATTGCATTCCACTGCTTTGTTTGAATCCTGTTTCTTTCCAAAGCATTTCCAGCCAAACCTTTTTGTGATACGTTTGCTCCTGAACATTTCCTCTGGAGACCTGTTATCCACACAGGCAGACTATATGACCCGCTGTCTGAATAAGGCAGTCAGACACTTGAGAAGTGCAATATCAATATGGAGAAGTACAAGCAAAGGGATGAAACAAGTTAATGGGTTATAATAACTTCAGATCAATTGCCTAAAACAATGGACTTATTAATTGCTGCAGTTGTTTTTACACAGTAGTGTATACACATACTGTTCCAAGAATACCTTTTTGCCTTTAGTCCTGCCACTTTCATTTATTCAAACCTTTTTTTTCCATTTACAACCTTGCCCCTGCATTTGAATAAAACCCTGTGAAGCACATTTTGAGATCGTCTGTTTCACTGTTGAATAATTTAGTTCTTAAAAAACAACGAACAGAAGCAATTTGCACACACTGAATTCTGCTGTCTCTGTATTTGAATATAAAACATAGCATTTCTCATTTCACAGAGGTGTGTTCTCAGCCTGGTAGGGCTGTCTTTGTTGGAATTCAACAAAGGATTTAGTTTGGCTGAAGCACCAACAGGTGCGTCTCCTGATTGTTTTTCACCAGCATTTGGTAAATCCTTTCACCTGTAAACACACACGTCTCACCAATCTACGAACATCTTAAGCCTGAGGTACCTCTTTAATATCATGAGTTCAAAATTACTTTAAATAGTCAAAAATATTGCCAGTCTTCTCATACCTCTAAATACAATAATAATACATTTAAATACCATAAGTTACAAAACAGGAGAATGAAAAGCTTCTTATCCACTACTGTACAAAGGCATTCATTAACAATAGCATTAATATCAGGGTATTCCATCTGTCATTCGACCGTCAAAGTTAAACCAGAAAGAAAAAACATGTGTAACTTCCTTTACATGGGTCTTATTCCAGTGTATTAACCTGTGTAACTAACTACAATATTGGCATTAAATAATTATGCTGCGCTAGTATTAAATGCAAATCTCTTGATATATAATGTAGTTACAACAGTGTAATAACATAGTGCAAACAGGGCGCTCAATTGAAAGGTAGAATAAGCAGAATTTCATGTGAGGATATCGCTTTTTAGAAATGTTAAGATTTTAAAGAAATTTATTTTCAGATGCAGTTTTTTGGATTTTACCGGTACATGAGCTGCTTCAGAAGTGTATGTTTCAGGACAGAACGTTTAACACTATGTGTTTAAATTGTGTTGTTACGCATTTTAAATATATATTGAAGAGGTTTTCATTGTTCACCTACAGAATATATACTCTATAATAACTATGCAATACTTTTCCATTGGTTAATACACAACAATAAGCCACTGCAGGGCGTTACTGCATTTGAGTTATCCATCCATACATTTACAATGTCATGAGTAGAAAGTTACCTTATACAGTTCTATAATTATATCATCAGTGTTATATCCTGTGTAAAAAAAAAAAAAAAAAAGAATAGAAACTGAGTACAGTTCTATATTCACCCGTGAGGAGTGAAAATCTGTGGCCAGTTTCACTGAGGGTGGAGATTTACGAACACGTAGATGACACTCTGTGAGCCCTTCACTAAGCACTACTTCGACCAGACAGGGCTGCCACACAGGTTCGCGGTCAACAGTAGTTCACTTTCTGTCGGACAGGGGGGGGGGGGGGGATCAGCTGAGTTGCATCTGACCTATCTGCATGAGTCCACTGAGTAGAGTACCTGATAGAGTAATATAGAGGTGTTGTATAGAGCCTGTCTGGTATTGCTCAGTGTTTGTGTGTGTATGCGTGTGTGTGTGTGGGCCTTGATGTCCAAAAACAGGGTCTTTCTATCACAGCACAAATCACACACACATATTATATACAAACATGTGTCAACGCATATGTGCTTTGAAGGCACACGTTATGTCGAAGGTCAGGCCTTATTTGGGGACACACGCCACACTGAGTTTGGCAGGAAGACAGGTCAGGTGTCTGCGACGGTGGAAGCAGTCTGGATACAGGAATTCTCAAGTCAGGGCACATGCCCCCTTAAAATTTCTGTGTGGCATGAACAATGCCTCTGCAAGATTCAATAGTCATCTATCATGTCAGATTTTAAATAGGGTGTGGATATAAGCAGTCATTCTGGATAAGTAAACCAAACTTCATTTCCCAGCAGCCCTGTGCGCCCTGGCCTACAGGTAAGACTGACTGATTCATTGAGAGCCAGCTTTTCATTTTCTGTTGACACTCCGCTGGCAGCCCGTGCTCAAACATGGGACTCTGTTTCTCTGTTCAGCACTTCTCTGTACAGTAAGTCACTTTGGATCAAAGCATCTGCTAGTTGGAGGACAATATTTTGGGGGGATTTGGCAGCTTTGGCGCAGTTCTCTGAGTCTTAACAGCAATTATTTCCACATGACTTTCAACATTCCCCTTGGGGGGCAGTTTAGAGAGGAAGAAAAGGGGTGTGTGTGCGTGTGTGTGTGTGTGTGTGTGTGTGTGTGTGTGTGTGTGTGTGTGTGATGCTGTGATGCTGTGATGCTGCAAGTTGTGGTGCAGCTCCCCCGGTCAAACAGCAGATGGCACTGAGGCACAGATCTCAAGTTAACTCTTTGAGAGTGTGTGGGTGGTTTGGGGGGCAGTTGCAGTGTGCCACAACATGCACCTCCACCTCTGAAGAGATCAATTCAACCAAGGTTACGCCTACACCAGCCAATCAGAAGGCAAGATGAGGTAGTCCCTGCGTTGTCTTGAACTACAGATGTGACTGCGGTTGGTTGGAGCTCGATGCCGCCAAGGTAAGTTGGGGAGTTAGCTGCCCTTTTTGAAATAAATCAGAATTGGGGCAGTGTAGTGTCTCAGTTCTAATGTGCGTGGAGTGTAGGAGGAAGGTGGGGCATGGTGGGTTAAATCAAAGTGTGTGAGTTGCGGGTGTCAGTATGTAAATTATCATATGGCTCTGTCTGTGAAGATTAGGCAGCTCCGTCTCTAGCTGGCCTCCTCTATCAGCCGAGCCAAGGTGTCTCTGAGCTCCGTCAGCTCAAAGATCTTGCCGTCCAGCAGCTCCAGCAGCGTCCGCAGGCTCTTCCTGAAATTCTCCTGCTCCTCCTGGTTCTCCTCTAGCCGCTGCTCGGCCCCCGCCAGCTGCTCCTCCAGCACCCGACCGCGCAGCTCTGTCTCCTGGAGAAGGAGAGACAGCATTGTTGGCAGGTTTGTGTCGTTAGGAGGTAAATAATAAGTGTAGGATGTGCTGGTTGGGAAACAGTTACATGTTCAATGCATATTTGTATCGCTCACCTCAAGTTTCTGGGTTAGTGTGTCTTTCTGCTCCATCAGGTCGTTCATGTTTTCCAATTCCTCTTTTAATTTTTCCATTTCCTGGAGGACATAAAAAGCAGATTAAAAGGCTGTGTAGCATGAACATAGAGTGTTGTTGCATGAGCCAAAACATTACAAGCAGGGCACTTCCCCCAATCACACACACATGCAAACACACATCTTCTCTATCCCTTAGTGCATTCTCCAGTTCCTCTATGGTTTGGTTGAGTTCAGTCTTCTGGGATTTGATCGCTGGTGATTGGTTGCTCTGACACTCGAGCTCCGTCACCTAAAAGAACAAGATGGAGATTAAGATTTAGATCCACAGAGATAGCTGGACACAACAGAATCATGATCTCAACCCATCTTTTATTACCAGACTACCTCTTCTTTATTCTCCCTCATGCCAACAATCATCTGCCCTCTCTGTTTTTTATTCCCTCCTATTTGATATGAATTAATTAATCACACAAGCAAGCAGTTCTGTGCCCCATCCCTCACCCGTTTGTGTAGTCTCTCGGCCTCTTCCTGGTAGGCGGCCAGTTGTTGTTTCCACTGTTTGACGTTGGCTGTGGACTCCAGCAGAGCTGCAGTTAGCTTGGCATTGTTCCCCTTTAGGGCCTCCAGCTCAGCCTCCCAGTGTTTTGTCATGGCAGGGCTGCAGAACACAGAGAGGTTCATTACCGTCAGTTTACCAAAAGCAACATAAGATAATAAGTGTTCATGTTTTCATGCTATGGATGTAAGATATGGGATTCTGAAAGCTCATGATGTCTGCTTCTGCAAAACGGAAGTTGTGAATGTGAAGGTGTATTTTTCTACAACATATTACAACCATTATTGTTTGTAAAACATCCATCCATCAATCAATCGATTATGAGAATACAGGACTGTGGACACAGATATGTTTTAAGTCTCTTAGTGGTCCTGTTGGCTCTTTGTGGTCATTTTGCATCTATTTGTGGTCATCTTGAGTGTTTTTGTGTCTCTTTGATTCACATTTAGTAGGTTAAGCCTAGAGCCACACAACCACTCAAGCTCCTAGGCCTGTACTGCTGGGGACCATTCAAAAATCTATCCATCCTTCCATCCAGTTTTGCCCCAGCACTAAAAGCTAACAAAGGCTGCAGTGGGCACTCAAGTTGGAGGTCACCACTTCCTGGCCAGTAGCTGTGAAAGCAGCTGTCTGCCACATGAGTTGTAATCTGAGATTATATCGTCAGACTGGCTGGAGCCTAATCTGGTCCAGCTACTCACAGACGAGAAGATGAGATGAGAGATAAGGGAAAAAGTGATTGACTTGCATGATGGAGAGGCATGTGTGGGAGAAAGACGCTGGTGAAAGAAAATGTTTGCACATTGTCTGGGTAGTCGATAGTTCGGTAGAAGAAATGCTGTCGTGTAATATTAGATATATGTACAAACTCAACTTTCTGGAGGGAAAATGCTTCCGCTGTGCATCTCCCCTGTTAAATGTGAGCATTGCAGGCATTCAGTTAAGATTTTCACAATGCCCACTCGCTGTCTCTCACATAATGTCTGACTTGAGTGGGAGATTGTATGAGAGACCTAAACGTTGTTGAGTACCGACATCGAGTCGAGTACCTTTGAAAAGAAGCTCCTACTCCCACATACTTCACAGTAATTCTTCACAGCGGTGGAAACAGATACACAGAAAAACACAAAAGCAAGCTCGGCTTGCTCAAGAAATGTTGAGTGTCTGTGTATGACCCATAACAATGATGTTTTCAGTTTTGTTCCGCCCCCTCGCTGACACACACGCATACTCACACTGCAGCAGTACTCCATTATGCCATAACACCCACTCTAAAGTGTAAAAGAGAGAAAACCCAGGTCTAATTCACGCAGGACTCCCACGGTGCCTTCAGTTCTTACACAACAGCCACCCCCTCTGTGAGTGCAAGTGTGCCTGCGTGTGTGACGCATAGGAGGGAGACGACACTTCATCCTACACATGCACATATCAACTGACACACAACCACTCACACACACATATACACACATGGAGCGATGCTGTCACCAAGGCACACAGCCCCGCCAATGTATAAACCCCACACACCAGCTCGCAGAGCAGGAGAGCAGGCGAGACGTCAAGATGTGAAGATGGAGACAGACGGAGAAAGCAAGCGAGAGCGATGGAGGGAGAATCAGAGGAGAGAAAAGAGTGCAAGATGTTTTGACACTAGTGTTTGTCTTCATTAAAAGAGTCTGGCTGAAAGGTCTCAGGGGGGCACCTGAGCACAATTCTGGCTGAGGACAGCAGAGCAGAGCTGAAGGTGTGTGAGAAACACGGTGGGTAAGTTAGCTGCTACTGTGTCAATGAACTGCGGATTGTAAAGATGATGTGGTTATTTACTCAATGTGATTGCCTTATCATGAGGATTTTATTTGCTAATGATATTTTCTAATTGCTGATCATTATATAATTTTGTTATAATTGCACTTCTTGTCATGTAAGAGCCAACTGTGATGTCAAACTATAGAAACAATTATTTTCTTGCATCAGCTTGAGATTGTTAGGCAATTTTGCAATGTTTTTTAATACTATAATAAAAAAAATTTGAATCACAGACTCTAAAATTCTGTATCTGGTAGAGAAGATTGCATCTATGTTACAGATTCAATTGTATCTGTTTTGTGAGATTATTATTCTGCTACAACAGACATGACGAGACACAGCACAGGACCAGATTTTGTGTGGTGTCAGTTTACTTTTGTATTGTATTTATTTAGATTATTTAAACTGGTTTTAAATTAATTTATTAATTTTTCTAATTGAATTAACGATGTATTTTGCTGATTGTACACACTGCCAACAAGCCATGACTCTTGAATAAAACATCGACACTCTGTTTTTGGTTTTGCTACTTCCCAAAGTAAAGTATAACTCTCCTCCCAGGCTCAATAAAGATACAAAAACACAAAACATAAACTTGAATGCGTGTCCTGACCACTGTGCGTCGTCAGCTTGGTTCTTCCTCCTCACAGAGCTCTTCAAGGAGCAGGGAGCCAGAGCGGTTGCCATGGTAGCACTGGAAGGAACGGAGGCGCTCGTAGACATCGGCACCGTCTCCGTTCACACAAGCCTACCACAAGCCCACCGGCAGACGCCTACATCCGCGAACACCAGAAGACCATTCACATACAGCCGAGGCAGTCCCAACAAAAAGTCTTCCAATATTCAGAAAACCATTCAAAATGACTCCACTGCAGACCTGCCAAACACGCCTACATCCTGCGATATAAAAAAATAAACTTCTCACAGCCCTGCAAACGGCTGTATCTCCTCCTCCTCTCTCTTCCTCTCTCTTCCTCTGCCATGTGCACCCACACAAACCTGCCTAAACAGCCCCACTAAGCAGCAGAGTGGTGTATATATTATGAATATAAGTCATCATCTAATTCCAGACTCATAGCAAAGAGACAAACCAAGATCATAAAGTTCCGGTGCAAAAAGACAGCACCACTGTGTTAATATATGTGGGTCTGAACCCTCATGCCTAATATACAAGTTAACACGTTCAAAATACACTACAAACACTTTATTCTTTTCTTTTGACTATAAAATAAACTATGAGCGTACACGCGTTACACAAATTGACAGAAAATAAATTTTAACTGCAGCTTAAGGTTCATGAAATGCTGAAGGAGCTACAGTACAAGGTGATAGACATGTGAGATGATGCGTGTGTAAGATGTTAAATGGAAGAAGGATGAATCATCGAGAGAACAGAAAAAAAAGAGGGTTATGTGGTGAAATATTTGAATGGTCCTAGCATCTACCCTCTCTGCATATGCCTCTGAGAGAATGTGAGACCGAGGTTTGCTTGTTACGCCCATGCTTGCCATCGTGAATGCCGAGAGTCGACCCGGTCTCCCACGCATGCAGCATTAATAGACACATCAGCAGCAAGGCTGCAGCAGGCAGTGGGTGTCCTCTCTACATTCTGCTCTCACTGCACACTCAGATCTGTGTAGCCTTACCGAGTTCATGATGTAGCGGTAGGGATTTTCTAAGCGTTTGCACTTGAGCTTGTCACAGCTTTAGAGACTTCAACAAACTATTAAAAATAACTGTCGCAAAAGATCTCTACAATGATGTTTAAATATTTAAAAATGTTTTAAGCCTCCTCTCAGACGCCCACCGTTAAGCAAAAAAAGAATGATAATACATTAAGCGATTGATTGATATCTTTAATTAATAAGAATCGCAGCCAGAGAAATAATGAAATGAGATTACAGAGATTTTACAAGTGAAAAGACCTCCGTGTACAGTCGACGACAGGTGACAGTAGATAAAAGGAACATTTCCTTTCCTGAGAAAAAAACTCTTCACTCACTCAAATGATTCAAACTCATTACCCGTGCCCTCATGTTCAGTTTATTTGTTGTAGCGTGTGTGCAGTTGGTGGATGTTTAGGTATCAGTGACTCATGTGCAGACTTTATACAATACACCTCTCTCTCTCTGTCGTTCTCTCTTTCCAGCTTCTGACACACACGCACACACACACACTCTGTGTGTCCATCTGTCTTGCTCTTTCTCTGCCTCCCACTACCCACAGTATGTTATATAAGTCTTACATAAACGCTTCATCAACACCTTTTTGGTGAACCACACAGCCACACCTCTTCAGAAAGCCATTATACAAATCAAAACAATTTACATGTCACTTTGACCTTATTATCTTACACAATCTACTGTATATGAACCAGTATTGACAATCAAAAAGCAATATGAATTATCCATTTCAATATTCAGTCAACTGACAGGACACAAAAACAGCAGGAACGTATACAATGTAACAGCGGTGCTGCATGCATAGAAGTGACACCGTCACATATTCCTTAATGCATCAAACAGTCAAAAGATTTTAATTTGCATTTAAAAAGATATTATTGCATTGCAGTCGGCAAACATATAAATAGTATAATAAATAAATGTGAGATTTTACTTTTACCAAGCATGCTCAGATTGGACAAAATATTAACTTGAATAATTCCTCTTTCCCGAGAAACACTTAAAGTAACGTCTTTTGCTGGTCCATGTGAAGTGACAGCGTGTGATTAGGAATGATATAATTCATTGCACCAATATTCCTCCTGACTGGAGCGATGGTGTGCTGTTTAACCTCGTTTGTTAGCAGTTAGTAAACAAGCAGTGCACCAAGTTTTGTAAAGAAGACCCTCCCTGTTGCTGGCCTGCATTCAGGCTCTTATTTTGGGAGAAAGATTGTGCCTGAACATTTTTTGTTTTGCGTAGATGTCGCAGTAGTCAGGACTTGTAATGACATCCCTATCAGAAAGAGCAGACCCGACAAGTCTTATACTGCTCCCTAGAGAGGAAAAACACGAGAGAGCAGCCGTGAATAGTAGGAGTTCACTACCATGCTGACGTGCAACATAAATTGGTGCATGCAGACGAAAAGAAAGACGAAGAGGGGTGAATACTTCTGTGCCTCAGACAGAAAAACAGAGAAAAGAATTATAATAATGAATGTATTTTAGTGTTCTTTGTGTGTAATCTATGTGAAATATGAGAGTATATGGTCAGACTGATACACCTGTACTGTGGTAAACATGACAACACGGGACAGTGAACACATCACCATGCGGGATGTACCTGTGTGCAAAGGCCAGTGCGTTCTGAGATGGCTCTGGACGGGTGTCTGAGTTGGGAGTTGTGTCACAGATGTCATCCGTGCCGTTGATGTTTTCCATGGGCGGAGTCACAGGGGTCAGTGGTGACGAGAGCTCACCTCCCGGAGACTCCTACATGTGAAACAAAGTTGTTCAGCTGTTACTGCCAGTTAGACGTCAAAAAAAAAAAAATCAATAAAACATTATTTTATTATTTTTCAAATTGTGAGTCGTGATCAAGGCACGAAACTAGGAATACATGTTTCTGACTTAATCAGTCCCGATACCGATACCAATACCTGGGCTTTTGGATGCAGGCCGATACTAAGTACCGATCCGATACCAGTGTTTAATTAATAAGCTGTGTGTAAGTGACTGGGATCATTATTTTATGGTAAGGCAACATCAGGCTCAACATTGCTTTCCTAACTTTGTAAATCAAGATGCAACAAATAAATATATAGATATAAATGTACTTAATTGTTATTTATTAAAATATTTGTATCCAACATTAGATCTGCCAATTGTCACCGATACCCGATTCAGCTATTTGATTGAGTTTCGGACCGATATCCAATATCAGTATCTGTGTATCTCTACACGAAACAATTGTGTTTTAAAAGCCCCAAAAATGTCTTGTCAAATTTAGACATTTGTGACATTTCCATATAAATAAATAGCTGTATGATACTCTCTAATGTCAATAATATTAACTAGTAATGATTAAACCTTGTGAGGTCAGAAGAAGTTCTTAATGGTGTCTGTCTGCACCAGAGACACAGCCTCAAGCTTACCGGTTTAACATTACCAAAAACAGAAACAGTGATTTAAATAGAGAAGAACTTGATAGTATTAAGCACTAGGACCACCACTTCAGGGCAGAAACTAACAACTATTCTCATAACTAATTAACCCGTCAATTATTTTTTACGATTAATCGATTCATTTTTACACGATAACATTTAAAGCCCAGAGCTCAAGATCACGTGTTTAACTGTCTAGTTTTGTTAGCCCAACAGTTCAAAACTTAGAAAATAGAGAAAAACAGCAACTCGTATTTGAGAAGCAGAAACCAGTGGAATTTTGTATCAAATTATCAAAATGGTTTTCATTTGATTTTCTATAAATTTACTAATTGTTGAACTAACAAATAATTTCACACAATTTATAGAAAAGTATTCATAATTAATTACTACAATACAATTAACTTATATGTTACATTATGAAATGCGTAATAATTAACCTGAGCGATGTGTATGTATTTTAGGGGGGTTGAGGTCTCTCACACTCTTGCTCTTGTGTTAAAATTGTAAGCGACTTAGTGAACAGTTGCACATGCCTAGGCCGTTAAATAGCTTATAGCACTGGGAAATTGCAGAATTACAGATTAATGCCTATCTTTATATCCCATACAACCACAGAATTATACGAGAGACAAATCATTTAGCTGCTGCTCGCACATAAAACAAAGCTATTAAGACTCGGGGCTTGAGCACGATACAGTAGCACAATGGCACTGCCTGTATGTCTCTAATGGACAAGAAGGAAGGGGGAGATAAGAGAAATAATATAGCGTAACAGTCTGCACTCCACATTGATTAGTATACCATTTAATAACTGTTCTGCACGTCCACTGGTGTCTGGCCTATTGGGACCAGCATATAGCATTTAGCTCTGTGTTTTCTCATCTTGTTTTGGTGGAACAATTCCTCTCTCATATTTTCTAATTTCTAGTTTCTGTTTCTAGTATTAAGAGGGGAGAAAAGAGAGGATCTGGAGGTTAGAAAGAAAGCCAGCAGGCAGGTGGGTGAAACCGTGACTTTCAGTAGTGAAATAGAGCAGACAGCTCGAGTAGAGCACTGCAGGCTTATAGCAGGAAGGCTGCAGCCTTTACGGTAACAGCAATCCCTCCAGTTTCACCACCAGTGGCCAGCGCACATGCAGTCTTCAACCCCTGATGAGAGCGAAGCTGTCCATTTGGCTTCATTAAAAACATCCTCCCATGGGAAGCACAAGGTATTGTGGCATTTCATGGGGGCCGCAGCATTAATAGTACAAGTAATAGACCGTAGTACAGCGGGGGGGTTGCTCCCCTAGCCTCCATAACGAACAGAAGAGGACACAAAGCCCGTTAACAGCCTTTAGATTACAGAAGAGATTTCTCTGGGGATTCTCCTCTGAAACAAGCTAATTTTCTCGCAGATGCAGTTACACATGCCCTAAAACACTCAGTTGCTATCCCACACAAACAAGTACCTAACATACAGGCTAATTATGCTCCCCAATTTATAGAGAGTCCACAGACAGCTTTGTCTTTTTCTTATAATGTACAGGGTGGATACATACAGAGAAAATGTACCATAATATTTTAGGACTATTATTCTTAACCTCAGTGTCAGGACCTCCCAGGAGTTCATGCAGCAGTGAAAGGTAACTTATATTACACAGTACATTTACACAAGTACTGCATGTAAGTACAATTTGAGATACTTTATAAATTTCAGAAGATAACGTTGTGCTTTTTACTCAGCTACGTTTATTCAACAGATATATTTATAGGTTATTGTTTGGCTTTAGAGTTTTTTCTTTAAACATTTGATTAACTTCTTAAATACAATACGCTTTAAAATATTCGTGACTTTTAACCTTTTTGGCTGATGTCTGGTTGGGACCCCTTTTCACATTTCACGTCTATGAGTTGTTTTGCAGTATTTCCCCTCTAAACTTAAAAGATGATTTTATTTAAATAACTTTTCTTTTGATACTTTTGTGCTGTAACTTAAGTATTATTTCGAATAAAGGACTTGTTCTTGTAGTGGAGTATTTTCACATTAATGTGTTGGTCCTTACTAAAGTAAAGGATCTGAATACTCTTCCACCATTAGCATGATCTTTTTCACATGTTCTCCTTAAAAATTTTTGGATCTATTTCGTATTTCATGAATTTGCCTCTACGCCTCCTCTGAAAATGGATCAAACTAAACAACAGCAAAGGGAAAAAATATTCTTTGGTTGACCTGTTCACCAGCTGTTAATTATACACACCATGCCTGTGACAGGAGGAGGTTAGTAGGCTGACAAAAAGGTTAGGAATTGGGGGGAGGGGGTTAAGATGGTGTGTACTGAACGTACCTGAGAAGGGGACGTGGCCATGTCCATCTTTTCTTGACTCTTCTCTTTAGCGAGCCGTGCTGCTTCTTTATACTCTGCAAACTTCTCTGCAAACTGGACACAGAGGACAGCCATAAGTATAAACTGTAATTCATACAATACTGTGGTTTAATCTGTGTAGTAAAGCCCTATGTGCATGGACAAACACACACAGAGATCAGTGTGTAATAGGTCAGATGTGAAGGATAGGGTAAATCTGCTGCCAATAGCGACACAGTTGAACTTAGAAAAGGTGGCCCTTACCCATAATGCCTCAGCAGAAACATGAGCTAACTAGGTCACCGTTAGTAACTTCTATATCATAGACATATACACACACAAGCGCGCACACACACACACACACACACACACACAGAACAAAGTAGCCATTGTGGTTTCCTGGTTGAGTTGTTGTCTTTAATCAGAAGTTGTTGGGGGCTGAAGTTGATCTCTGGGGTTATTTTAGTCAAGGGCCAAGATACATCCAGCGATCCTGAAGCAGTAAGGTGAGCTCAGCTGAGGGGCTTTGAGCAAATATAAACGTCCTGGCACATTTCCCCAATGTCCCTTTAGGGTGTGGTTCATCACCGACACGACTCCCACAGTGTTACAGAGTAATTTAGTATATCCAGTACTGCAGAGGGCTGAGTGGCGAGGAAATCAAATTGACAACACTGAAGCCGGTCTTGTGTCTGCTATTAGTGGAGTTCCAATAAGTAACTCAATATCTTTTCACTTCAGTGCAATATAATATTTCTGGTCCAGTGATCTAAATGCAGTAGTTTTCAGTGTAAGTGCTCCAGGAGTGTTTGGCACTGCAGTTATCTGAGAGGTGAATCTGATTATTTCAAATTCAGACCACATAAAATACTTTTAACTGGCTGTTAAAACTGCACATTGATGTACATCAGACATAGTTCCTCTCAACATGAGACTCTGTGAATCAATCAAACCAAACATGCTATACATTTGAAGACATTTTTTAATATATATCTTGTAAATAATACATATCTTAATCTAAATGAGACTTTGTAAAGAAATAAATATGGTAACATATAAAAGGTACACTGTAAGCATACATCATCGTCACAAATCAGAGAGAACAAAACCATTGAAATAAAAAAAGAGTAATTTTAAAAAATGTCTTCAAATGTCTCAAATGTATGTCGCATGTTTGGTTTGACTGATTCACAGTGTTGAGAGGAACTATATCTGAGGTGTATCTTAACAATTAGACCATTTATGTGGTCTAAAGTTGAAAAAAAAAATATTGCATGTTAACACATTCATACAATAGGAAAATAACTTTACTACTTTATTTACCTGGAACTGTGACACCTTAAAGTCACATAATTAGATACTCCATCAATTGCGTAATCCATGAATTTAGTTTTGCAGTTTCATAAATGTTGGGGCCTTGGGAGAAACGCATCTTTAAAAAGGAATGGTCCGAATCAAAGCAGCAAAAACTGAGATACCCTGACTTTTGCTCACTAACTGGAGTAATGCCCGAAAAACCAAGCCGCAACTTAGATGACTCTGGTGACGTCATCAGGTTTTCACAGGTCACATGACAAATAAACTAAACCAAACCAATGTAAAATTGGTGGAGTTCCCTTTTAAACTCCTAGGCACCCACCACGAGGTCCATCTTTGGGCTGCCAAACTATTTCCAGAATTTCTTAAACTTAGGTGTATAAAGAGGGAGATGATTGGGAAAGGGAAGTTTAAGATGTTACTGTAACAATAGCTGAGGCCTGACAATATTATTAATGTCCAGTATATGATATGAATCAGGAAATGTCTTTGATTTCAGGACATCACAGTTTACACTATTGAGTTTGATGGTTGAGTGTGTGTGTGTGTTCTTCTGACAGTGGGAATGGTGTAAGCCTACCCGATTCACGATAGAGCTTAATCATACTGCAGAGGAGAGAAATCACCACCTACTCTCACTCTCTCTCACACACACACACACACACACCTTTCATAAACACACACAGAAAAAAGCCTCATTAGGGCTAACTGCCAAGCAGATTCTACACCTTGAAAGAAGCTATAGCAACTAGAATAAAAAGTTGAAATACCATCCTCTCTCTGGGACTGAGGGAGAAAAAGAAAAGAGAAGCCTCCCTGTGATTAATGTGTGGTTGGTTTGTGTTTGAGTGTGTTTGCGCGTGTGTGTGTGTGTGTGTGTGGGTTGGATGGGGGTGGTACCTTGGCTAGATGATGCTCAGTGGAGAATCCCAGGCCGTAGACAGTGTTCGCTCGACTGTCCGCCCACTGGCCAAACTTCTGTGAGGTCTTTGTGAACGTCATGTTGGGACTGATGGTGCTGTTGATTATTGCCTGCAGGACATAGGGAACCCACTTAATACATATTAAATCAACTTAATTTCTGCAGTTTAATGTGTGTAAGGTCTATGTGTGAGTACTAGAGAGAGAGAGGATCAAATGAAGAGCCAAGGACAATTTTAGCCCCAAGTATGTGCTTTTTGTATGACTGAATAAAGATTACTCACACCACAAATCAGGACTACAGATGAAAATATCAATGAATCATTATATATTTGACAATACACAATTGACATATTGCATCTCTACTTAATCAATCTGTAAATGTTGGTATTAGTGCCTTGATCATGTGTCTTTCAGACTCCAAGTATTGTAGTGCCAAAACACTTAGCCAATTAGTCAATTGATAGAGAATGTATCATCAACAATTTCAGTAATCAAGTTATCATTTAAGATGTTTATCAAGCTTCTCAAATGTGAAGTGCGTGTGGTTGAACAAATTTATATTGTGTGTGAATGGTCTGTGCTGGGAGATTACATAATTTATCAATTAGTCAAAAAATTATAATTGATCATAGTTGCAGTCCTATACTTCATCAGAACAAATAGTGCCGTTTCTGTGTGCGCGTGTGTGTGTGTGTGTGTGTGTGTGTGTGCATGCATGAGAGACAGGGGAAGCCTGAGAGAACAGTATATAGCTTCCGGTCTGCAGCAGTGCAGCTCACAACCACCAACACAATAAAATCCATGCATGGATAGTTAACAGAGGGCAGCTGAGTTTGACTTTAAAGCCTTCAGCCGTGGATTCAGTGATCCATGGTTAGTTAGACAAGACCTACACCAACATGAGCATGTACATATACACACACACTCACACACACAGAGTGATGGCAGAGAGGCACAGTGGCAGAGACATCTGAAAGTTGGTGAACGCTGAAATATTGAGAGCTTGAAGTTCAACTGTAAGTCTGGCAATATTTTACATTTTCCTTATCAACAAAACCCATGAAAAGGCCAAAACCGACAATGTATTGATCCTACCAACAAGTATTGTATGTGTATCCAATGTATAATTTAATCCTCTGTGCCATTTACCTGTATTGTTGTCCAAAAACTATTACAGACACATCAGTGAGCCACACTGTTGCACTGGCTGTCACATTGCTTTGAAAGGATAAACCTGGACTCTCCAAGTTCATCTAAAGGCCCATTATGGACATTCTCGTTTACTTTGAGTCAATCCCACATACAGCACACCATTCCGCTGCCATAAATACTTAATAACTGCACTATTTACTCCTGTTTGAGAAACACATTTTATGAAATGATTGAAGCTTTTCACTGGTTTCTAAAGATGAATATCTTTAGTGGGAACCAATGGGCTTGGGCGTAGTGCAACAGACAGGATTGTGGAAGTCAGAAAGTATTGAGAGATGTAATAACACATTTGTTTGTGCCTTCAATAGATTTGTTGAAAATAAGACTTATTTCTTTCAATTTACAAGAGCTCAAATATAAGGCTATCTCTAGATCTTATATAATCCAACCTCCCTTAAATAACACTAATGGAGAACAAATTAATGTCTGATTAATTAGCAGTGTTATGCAATGCTTGGCTTTCTGGTTGGAATCAATACATAACGATGAGTTTGGGAAGGGTAGCAGTCTGTGAGTGTGTGTGTTACACAATAGTTGAATTTAGTGATCAACTATCTACTCCCATCGGTCCATCTCGATCCCCTACCTTCACACTTTTCTGTATTTGCCGCTCTTGTTATTTCCTCGACCACACATTCTTCTCACTCTGTCATCTGTTTCTCTCATTTAACTTCACCCCTCCTCTCTCCATAACTGGTGAGGACTGGTCCGTGCCTATAAATCACACCATGCCCAGCAGAAATATCCCTCTCGGTTCTCTAATAAGAATATCCTGAGACAGAAAGTGTGGACTCTGAAGTGCAGAGAGACACACAGACATGCGCACACAAACGCAGTAGTTGCATGCCTACGCACAATGAAACATGAGCTGTCAGTCTCGGGACAGGTTTCAATGGTGATCTCTTATGTGTTAGCACATTGGATTCCAGCGCAGTGCTTATTAACATCATTAACACTCACTACATCACAGTGCCACTAAAATCTCCCAGAGCGCTGTTTGACATCTTAATAAAACCACGTCAGTTGGCAGAAATTAAAAATAACAATGGATGCAGTATGGGAGACATAATAAAATCTGTGTTTTGCGTGCGACAAAAGTTTGTACGGTGTACAGTAACAATCAGAATCAACCGCTCACCTTTGTGCCATCCAGGCTGATGATGCGGTAGACATTGCGCGTACTGTCGTAGAAGTAGGAGACAGTGACGGCATGCTTGCTGGTGGGCAGCCAGTTCTTCTTGGTGTTGGGGTCAATCTGGAAGACGTGGGCCCTCGTGCTGTAGATGGGCTGCTCCCTGAAGGGGACGAAGAAGAAGTGGTGAACCTCCTTGTGCCGCAACACCAACGTCTCACCAAACCCAGCGCCAGCACTGCAACTCCTATTGTCCACGGGGGAGTCAGATCGCCCTGGCAACCGAATTACCAACTCACCATCCTCCATAGTTACACGAAAGAGAGGCTGTCAAAGGACGACTACATGTACTCATTGTCTTGTACTGTATACATGGATAACAAGCCAACTGAGCCGTCAAACTACAGCAGAGTTCCCGCATACACGTTAAGTCTAAAGTTCCTCTCTGACATCACCGCCGCTTGTAAATCAATACACTACACGCATGCAGCTTTTCAACAGAAACTCTCTCTGTCTTTCAATCTTTGTAAGCCAGCGCCGTCTCTCCATGCTCCGATATGGCAATGCCTGCAGCACAGAGCGAGGGTCACACAGGGGAGCACAGAAGGGAAAGGAGAGGGTTTAAGGCTAAATATAGACAGTAGGCTACAGTTAACTACCAAAGACCCACCCCACAGAGCTGCAGTTTCCACACAGACAAACATAATGCATGTGGATATACAAACATGCACACAATATGGCACAGAATCATAAATCAGTATTTACGTGTAAATGTGGATTTGTGTGTCTGTAGCTCAGATCAGTAGATGATCAAAACTCCATGATGGGCTCAGTTTAAGATGACTTAATTCCTTATTGACCCCTATATGACACTCAACCCAGAGTTAGGATTCATCACTATTAATGTTGGAGATTATAATATTTTATGATATTATATATAGTCATCTTTGTTTTTTAACCATTCATTCGTCTGTCACTCATGCTCCACCTTCACCCTTTGTCTATTTATCCCTCACTCCTCACTTAGCTCTCACCATGCCCTCATATATTCTAGCATTGTTGGGGCTTCTTGGGTAATATCTACAGTCAGTACACACACACACACACTCAAAGTGCAGGGTGCAGAGGGAGATATTCTGGGCTGGCAGTGCTGGCAGAGCAGGAGATAGAGAAGTGCTTACACTGCACTGAGGGGGTGATGGGGGACATCAAAGGCTTGCTGTATAAATGAATATTAAAATTCAGCAGCAGCACCCCTCCTGTGTGTGATTAGCCAAGACTGGGAAAGAAAGAAAAACATGGAGACAGGGGGAGAGAGAGAGAGGGAAGTTAGACAGGAAGAGAAAGAGAATGATGGGGAATGTGGAGAGTATAGGAAGTCAGAGTGAATCTGGGATGATTAATGCCGCTTTACAAAGCTGCTCGTGGAGTGCTGTGCACGAATTATCATAATCATCGACAGCAGTGTAAGTGGTGGAACTGTGAGTCATTTCAACTCACACCAGCACGGCCTGTCCGTATGATCCGTGCAATAGCCGCTTGGCAACTGTCATCGTTTTTCATTGCATAATTCCATGGAGCTGTGGCAAACTTCTTGTTGCTCGATGGTGTTTGTACCAAACGACACCCACCAGTTGTAAAAAATACTAACTCCTACAATTGTACTTTTAAAAGACACCACAATAAATAATGGAATGTGATTTCACAGTAAATTCTGCTTTCTTAAAAAATATATCCAACAATAATTCTTATGCTGATTTTCCTTCCTCAAAAACGGCCATCGCCATAACATGAAAGGCATCACTCTCCTCACACATGCTTCCCACTATACAGTGACTCTGGTGTGAGCCAATAGCCAGAGTTATCGGTTAGGGGATTGCATAGAGGTCAATTCAGAACGCGTTGATCCTCTTGCACTCCAGCGTCGAACTCCGGCAGTAGCATGTAGGCTGCATGGCAGCTACACAGAGGTAGCAACAGGGACACAACAAAAGTATGAAAGCCTTAGAAGGCTGTCTATCTCCCATCAGTGCATGACAGAAGTGCATACACGAGTGTGGATGTGAAAACAAAAGCTGCACACCCCAATATAGGAGGGGGGGGGGGGGACATGATCAGAGGAATCACAGGATGAGGAGACAGGAGAATAGAGAGGAAAACTAAGCGGGTAAGCCAGGGGGTAATTTCAGTGGGCGAATGAGTGGTAGGACTACAGGAGAAAGTGTGGAGGAGGAAGAAAAAACACAGAGGAGAAAGAGGAGGAGGTGTTTTAGAATGCAGTGTACGGTGTGACACAAGGGCAGGTGATAGAACATGAATGTTAAAACAGAGAGAGGCGGCCGGCAGGAGGGATGAGAAGAACGTAGAGGAGGTGATGTATAGAAGAGGATGGAGCTCTGAGAAGAAGATGAAGGGAGTGGAAAGCTCTGAACTGCTACACAGCATGGTATAAACAATTATGTGAACTATGGTTGCTCAAATCCGAACTTTCAGAAACCCAATAAGAGTTTTTTAAGGAAAAAGCATATTAGTGCCTATGAGTAAGTAGTGTGCTCTTGCTGACATCTGTAGGATGATGAGGATGATGATGATGAGAATTTGGCAGACATTTTTTTTCTTGGGAAAAAAAGAAGTCCCATGAAAACTGTTGAGTGATGTTAGTGGATTTTGTGGACCACGATATAAATAAAAAATGGTGTTGTGGATGTAAATATGCAACAAAAGCTTCCTGCATGGCTAGATACCACCGTTTGTTTTTTACATTAAAATATAGGTATTAGTCGGTGAACAACACTGTACCAATGCCTACAGGGCATTTCACAATAAAACGAACACACACACACACACACACACACACACACACACACACCTGCAGTTCCAGGAGTTGCAACAGGTGTGTCCTTTAGCGCCTCTTGTGCTTCAGGGGTTTAATGCACAGATGTGAACACTCAGTCTTTGAGTCACAGTGTGTAACCAAACAGCTTACACAAGCATGTGCACATCATTTCATACCACAAAAGGCATTTTCTTTTCTACTTCAGTGTGTCCCCCTTTAACCATACAGCTGGCACTCTTTCTGTAAACACTGACAGTGAAACAGAAGCATATTCAAACGGTCCTTCTCAGGATTTCTCACTTTCCCTTGCCACCTCCACCCAGCCTCTCTCCTGAAGTTTTCTTTGCTTCCAGAGTTCATTAATTCAACAGGGTAGAGCATGAATGCAAGTAGATCTTATTTAATGTAGTGAGCGGGCAGTAATGAGAGCTCTGTGTTGTTCCATCTAGTGGGAGTGGCTTCGATGACCTAAGATGTGCCCGTGAACACACAAACCCACACACGCACACAAGCCAAGACAAAGACAGGGAGCAGGGAGATAAACTGAGTCCATCTGTTCATTAATTGTATTAGCCCAAGGAAGTGAGAGTGCACCAGAGACTTTTGACAGGCATCTCCAGTTCTCACTCAACACTAATGTTCTTCTCTTTGCCATCACCATTAGAGACACGTGAACGGAAGTCTGTCCGAAATCTGTCTGTGCCATTACTGCGAGACAGGCAGCTAGACAACAGATATGTGCGCTTTCATCTCATCTGCACATATTCAGACTTCAATACACACACTGTATGCAATATAGTGCTTTGAATCACACAATGTATTTCACTGCGAATTATTTGAGTCATTGAGTCGCTTGCATAACAGTAACTTAGTCACCAGTATGGCAGAGCCCAGTGGAGAGCTGAAGCTGAGTGGGAGACTGCTGAATGATGTGCTGCCCACACTGTAGGAGGGCAGAGTGGGGGCCTGGGAAGCCTCCAGTGTATTGTAAATAGTTAATGCAGGAGTTTTGTGGCTGATGCCTTGAAATGGTACCATGCCTGTGCCATATTGTTAACCTCCTGCTGTGCAATTAATCACAATGAACTGCAGGAGACAGCCGTTAATGAACGACAGGCTTGGTTGGGGGAAATGGACCGCTGAGCTTGGGGTTAGGGGAAATGCAAATGAGCAGTGCTGTACACCGAGCAGATATTTTACTGATGGGTGCCTGTTGTTGAGGAGGTGTAAGGTAGCGGTCACTGTGCTGCCATAGAGACAGGAAGCCGCTTTCTGTCACTGGAGCCTTGTGAAGCATTGTAGCTACTGACATTTCACTGCTTCTGACATTATACTGTTCCCAAATCTTATAGAACAGGACCCAGAACAGGATAGTACATCAGACCACAGAACTCTGACAGTATTTGAGAAGAATTGCTGTTTTTATACATCTTTCAGAATTACATAACTGTCTTTAATGTAGGAGGGGAGAAAACAGCAGAACAGAGAGACCAAGGAAAACAGCATTTTCTAATTCACTCTCTCATTGTTCTAGTGTAACTAGATAATTCAAGTCTTGCTTCATTTAGGTGAGAATACTCAAAATCCCATATTCTTCCACTTTGGGAAACATTGCCGATTAGCTCCCTATTTTGATCCTTAAAGTTTGACGATTTGGTCACTTATGCACCAGCATTTGTGAGCCAGCATGTTGGGCCTAAAGTGTGTTTCTATTTTACCAAATGGAGCATATTCAGAGGAGAAAGAGGAACATGTTCATTTAATGTCTTAAAATGTGTTGGTTTAGTGAGCAACACATCAAGACCGTCAGAAGATCACCACTCAACCACACAGACAGCCGACCTGAGATATCCACCGTCAAGTTCATTAGACGTCATATAATACAGATACATTTTTACGCATACGCCCGGGTCACTGTGATATGCGTGGTGTGGTTTCCATGGGAGAGAAGTTCATAACCTGTGAAGCAGCCGCAGCCGATATAAATACAGAAAGAAATGAAATGGACCCCTTTGTATAATAAGCACACTTACCCCATTGTTATGGTTGACATGGATGCGATTACTGATCCTTTTCACTGGCAAAAAAAAACGTATCTCGCAGGTTGGCTGCTGCGTATGAAGGTCTTCTCTCTACACGACCGTCTTCAATGTTTCACCGTTGGTGCGTCTGCAGGAATTTGATGACAACTGGTCCATTACCCTTCCACTGTCACCGCATGAAATCACACATATGTCGTTCTGCACATGGCACTGAAATCAGAATTGGTCTCTTCCTTCGGCGTTGAGCGTTTGGTGATGGAGCAGCAGTAGCGCGGAGGGAGATCCAGCGCGGAGTCCAATGGAGATCCGACAGGCGTCCTGCTGTTGTGTAAAAACTACAGATCCTCGCTGGAAGGGTGGAGAAGCCCTGATGCCTTTACTGGGAAAGACAACCCTCATTTAGCCACTTGATAACGCACAGAATCATACTGTCCACGCGCGTCTCTCTCTCTCTCCCTCCCTCCCTCTCTATCTCTCATTACCATAGGCTCACAGTCTACACCCCCACTCTCTCGCCCAGACTACAGCTATTTCACAGCTTTACCTCTGCATTTCTATAATAAAGCCGATTTCTGATGTCGTTAGGACTAAACCAACTTGTGCTTATGCAACATCATTCATGCCTTTTCTGCTAATGCACGTGACAAATGTCTGCTCTCCTTATCAAAGTTGGTGTGTGAAGTCGTTTGCATTGATTAGAATATCCTGTTTCTACGCTGTAGCTGTATGTGTGCTTTATTGATCTCAGCCTATCCACAGACCCATACGCGTACCCCGCCCCCCAAACCGCTCCACATCTGGCTGATGCATCGCTTCCCTCCTACTCAGATCACTGTCAGTATTGAACTGCCTACGTCACGACACCGTCCTCCGCAGTGACGTCACTTTGTGCTCAAGGGACTGATGCCATTTGATGCTTTATAAGAAGTTTATTGGTAAGTGGCCTACTCACCAAATACTAAAAGAGTCCAAAGCTGCAATAGCCTATTTGTAAGTTCCCTCCCTAAGATTTCTAAATCTACATAGATCTAATGTAATGTAATCAGGATTTTGGCTTAAAATGACTGAATTATGCACCCTAAAGAGATATAGGACACATTATAATATTGTACACTTGTTATTTCTTAACATCTTATTCCTTCATAATCTCTTATCCGGGTCTATGAGCTGTTCTGTGATTTAATTATTTATTTTTGTAAATACACAATTGGTTCTATCCAAGTCAAAAGTTATTTTGAGGCAACATCTTATTCTGAACCCTGGAAATTGGAGGGGAAAGCTTAGCCAGTATAAAGATGTTCATATATCATGGATAAAGTCAGCCATTTCTAGAATAAACTAAGTCTATAACCAGAGAATCTGAAGACTCATTTATGATCCAGGAGCTTGGGTAGCCTATATGGAGTCGCTCCACAAGGAATGGAATGATGATGGACACAGTGGATCAAAGAAATCACAAAGCTACAGGGGTAACAGTAACAACCCTCAGTACAATATCCAAAAAGTGCCAGTATAAGTCCTAGTGTTTTCTCATTACTCTTATCTAATCCATAGTGGACTTTTAAACAGGAAACTCAAACTAAAACAGAATAAAAGCATGTCATGTTTACAACATTGGGAAAATCGCTTTAAATGTTTGGATTTTAACAAGTTATTCCATCTGCAAACAAGTAGAGACAAACTGACATGACTACAGCTATGGTGATTTTACTGCCAACTGCGCTTTTCTGTTTCATAGCTTTAAGCTTCACATCCAAATTAAACTAATTTGGATACAAATACTTTTGCCCTTGGGGTGGATTTCTCTTTACCTCGCGTGGCCACGTCCCCTTTAAATCCAGTTCCATTACGTCATGGCATCAATGCGGAAGTAGGTTCTCAGGAAACTAACACCTTGTTTTGTTTACATGTGTCATGATATTTGGTAAGTGTTACAGAGTTCCGTTTTTGAGTAAAACAAAAAGCAGTTTTTTTTTTAAACATTCAGTGACATATTTATAGAGACACAGTCTTCAAACAAATTTACAGTGAAGCAGGTTGAATTTTGTGATAATATCGTTACCGATAGTTGAATTAGCTAGCGTTAGCTCGGACGTAAGTTTCGGTTTCCAGAGGAAGTTCTCGTGACATTAACGTTACCATTGCTGTTGGATGATGAGTTCAGTACTTGTGGTCACCATAGTTATTCTGTATTTGCGGACACTAACATTACCAGCCGTATTGACGCTATGTTGTCTTGCTTTCAGGAAATCAGCGGAGTTAATGCTGGAGCTCTGTGAAGAACCGCAGCATGTTTCCCCGCAACGCCGTACCGAGACAGCGGTTAGACTACCGAGAAGACTTGTACCCGCCGCCGCCAACACTCGTGCCCCGGTACTACGATTACAACCACCAAAGTCTGGCTGGTGTCAACAAGTGAGCCTGACGAAGAAAACTGGTGTGATAGACATCAGCTGCGTCACTAATATACTACTAAATGGTTACTTGTGCGCTTCTGTGTACTGTTCAGTAATACGTGTGTTTGTGTGGTAGCTTCTCTGTTCCTGGACTACAGAGGCTTCCTCCATATGAATGGAAGCCCAGACTACTCTCCCCAGTCCCTCCTTCAGTCCCTCCTCACACACCAACTATGACCAATGGGCGCAAGTATGTTTCACCATTTATTCATGACTGATCTGTAATTTATGAACATCTACCTTGTCTTGTCACATGTTTCCGTATTGTGGTGGGAAAATACAAGTATAAACATCAATTTAATGGTGTCAGGGAATAATTGTTGTATTATTGTATTTTATACTGCGAGATGAAAAGTACAGAGAATACTCTGACATTGTTAGAGTGATCTCACCTTGACTGAGTAAACATTGTGGTGCAGTTACATAGGAGTGTATATATATACACACCTGCAAACAGAGGTAATCAACTAATGTTAACCAATGGTCTTTTGTGTAACATATGATAGTATGTCATATTCAATCAGAGAAATGTACACCATCTTCTCTAACCAATCACGATGTTCCAGCAATAGGTATATGTCTCCTTGAAAGCATAATGATGGACCGTTGGAAATGGTATCACTATCTGTTTTAGTTGCTTGCAAGTTTATCCTTGAGAATATAACCTTGAAAGACATCTTTGCTCTTGGGAGTCTCGATTACAGAATTACCACCATTATCGTGTTTCTTGCAGGAGGCAGAATGAGGACTACAGCCCCCACGTGGTGAAGCGGCAACGCCTTGACCCCCCTTTAACTCGAGCCCCTCCCCCTCATGTTCCTGGCCAAGTAGTGGCAGGGTCATCAAGATCATCCTTTGCTGGTTTTGATAGCGCTTATCACAGCCCAAGCACCCGTATCCAGCCTCAGGTCACTGCTGCCCCCAAAAGCCCCAACATCTTGCAGGCCTACGCGAAGGACAAGGTACTGTATGTTTAAATGGGCTTAACCTGCAGCTGATATACATCCAGTCTGACTGTGTGCATGCAGGTATGCTCGGTTTAGTCAGTGTACATGTGTTTATGTCCTCAGTTAAGTGATCAGATGGTGGAGATGTTCGAGGCGTGCCAGCAGCAAACTTCCGATTTGGCCCGGAAGGAGACGTGCCGAGCTCGGCTACAGAAAGACATACAGAGTGTCTATGCAGGTGTGTAGGAAATACACAGTTGCGTTCTGCTCTGACTTTTTGTTGCGATCCCTATTCACCGAGCGCGTTTCTCACAGTGGCACGGCTTTACTTGACTGGATCTTCAATGAATGGATTGGGCTGCCGGAGCAGTGATGCTGATCTGTGTCTGGTCCTCACGGGAAATGTGAGTATCTCCGACTCTGCACTGTGTATGTCATCCAAAGTGAGTAGGTGTATTTACAATCATAGATATGCACTTCCACTTAAACACCTGCATGTTTTTCTGTTTTAGAAAAGACATGATCCTATACAGGTACTCTCTGTCCTCCAAAGGTTCTTCAGGTCACTGTGTAAGTAATAGTAAACTACATTTTTAAGTATATATAAAATCATTTGGAATAGTTTATTACACATTTTTTGCTCTTCTCAGATGCCACAAGGTGGAGCTATTTACCTAGTGGAAAAAGGTTTCATGTTTACAAGAAATTAAACTAAAACAACCAGGAATCTCATGATCTTTGATTTGTAGCGTATGTAGAGAAGACTCAACTGATCAGAGCCAAAGTGCCCATCCTCAAGTTCAGAGAGAAAGGCAGGTAGGAGCCAACAATGTTTAAGCTTATTTCTTTTTTTATACAACATCAACAGAGTCAGAGAGATGTTTTAATAAGACTCTTTTAATACTCCTATCCTCTTTAGTGATCTGGAGTTTGATCTGAATATCAACAACACAGTGGGCATCAGAAACACATTCCTTCTGAGGAGTTACGCCTATGGTGGGTGAGACAGTCCACAATACATACATTTTTATGACAAACTTTTCAAAGTTCCTTTCTTATTTTAAGTCGGCTCCAACTGTGACTGATCACTCTGTTTATTATGCCAGCCGCACATTTGACACTTGAAATGGAGACCATAACCTTTTCTTGTTTTGACTTGCTGTGTTTGTGCGGTCTCTCTCAGCTGATCTCAGGATAAGACCCATGATCCTTGTTGTCAAGAAATGGGCACGGCACAATCAAATCAATGATGCCAGCAAAGGAACGTTGAGCAGCTACACACTTGTGCTGATGGTGCTGCATTACCTCCAGAGTCAGTACAGTCATACACACAGACAATCTTTTTTTCAGTCCCCTTTGTATTCTGTCATTATTGTGATTGTTTTCTTTACAGCTCTCAAGGAACCGGTCCTTCCTTCTCTACAGAGGGACTACCCAGTAAGTGTCTCCATTGCTTTTGCAATTCAGTTTTGCTATTAGCAGGTTCATCACAAGAGCTGCAACCTTAAGTCAGTTTAACAGCCAAATCATAGGAAATGCATGAAATGTAAATTGCCCTACAGACACAAAAGACATTCCAGCATTACTTTGCTTCATCCGTCACAAAGAAATGGCAAAAGGTGCTCAGTCTTAAGTCTTGTCCTGTGCCTTGATTTTCAGGAGTGTTTTTATCACCTCATGGACATTAACATGGTTCCAGATGGACCCAAACACATCCCCCGCTACATCTCAAGAAATCAATCCTCTCTGGGAGAGCTTCTCCTGGGCTTCCTCAAGTACTATGCTACAGACTTCAGGTATCTCAAGGACATCACATTACTGAGTGTAGTGTTTCAGATGCACCCATGGTTCCTCATCTTGCTCCTCTTGCCAACTTCTACCTCTCCAGTCCCCCCCCCCCCATCATCTCCTCTCTCCTTCCTCTATCCTGCATCCTCGTCTCTGGTTTCATGTTTCTGGGTGAGGGAAAGGAGCAGGTGGGACCTTTGGCCTTACACAGCGCTAACATGACATACCATGCTCCCTGTGTTTGCAGTATGTGTGTTACCGTACCACGCCACAGTTGCAACGTTGAACTAAACCTCGCCACACAAACACGTTGATTTCTACATTTCACAGTATCAAACAGGTCACAGATGTTTAGGGTTTTGCATGTGCTTTTTTTTTTTTTTTTTTTTTTACTGCTGACATTTTTCAAAAGCAAAAGTTTTTTACGATGAGGACCTTTTTTCTACCTTCTTGACAGAAATTTGTTTCAACCAACACCAATCAATAAGCTATCGAATGTAAGTGAAATCTACCATTAAGGCACATTCTTTTTCTTTTGGACTTTGAACATTGAACTTTATGCTTTCAATGAGGCTCCAATATTTAAGACGTAAGAATTGACAGAATCTGAACAAAACTTCCCCCTTGTTTGTTGACAGTTAAGTGTGCATATTTTGTAGTTTAGCTGAATTTGCAAAGCTACTAGTATGGTCGTTGAGGACCTCGGTCATTTAGTCTAATGAGCACTAAATAATGCCCTTGCTTTTGTTTTTCTGTGTCTTGCAGGTGGGATAAGCAGGTGATCTCTATCCGAGAGGCCGCAGCTTTGCCCAAGAACAATTCTCAAATGTGGCGAAACAAATACATATGTGTGGAAGGTAAACATTTCAGTGGAACTAACAGGCCACCACTAAATAATTACCAGGAGCGTCAATGTGAGAAATGTCCCCGGTAATGTTACATATCCAGAGTTACAGCAACGCCTTGTGTTTCAGAGCCATTTGAGAGAAACAATGTTGCCAGGGCAGTCCATGAGAAGATCAAGTTTGATGCCATCAAAGCCGAGTTTGCCAAGGTACATGCCAGTCCCAAAAACTGCTCTCTTCATTATGTTTTTCCTCCTCCAAGCCGCTGTGGGCCAGCTATGAGTTCTTCATAATCATCCTGCTTCCCATATCTCTGTGTCTGCGCAGTCATGCCGGATTCTACAGGACAGGAAGGACCTGAACTCGATCCTCCCGGTCAGAGCCATCATTAATGAGGAGATAAGGAGATAAGGGGCTCCTCTAATTAGAAGAGCGGACAGGAGTCTTCTACCTCAAGACAGGCCTGTTCCCAGAAACAAAGAGACGTTTAGGATGTGCTGAGAGAGGAGCTCCGCTGCCTCCGCACCTCGCAGCCACAAGGAGTCTGGGACTCTGAATGCTCTGGCTGCCTTGGTATTGCCTTTTAAAATACCACACTCGACTTCAAATGCTTTGCAGACTTGGCCATATTATTCTTATTCATATTATAACATTTGTGGAATGGCACTAGAGGGCTCCGAGATCATAATCCTGTCACATTAACTTGCAACAGAGATGCTGCACTGAAGCATGATGATAATGGTCAGTGTTACAAGCGATAGTCATTGATGTTACACGGCCCGCCCCCTCCCAACACACATTGCATTATAGGGTAAACGTTGAGTATACTGCCAAATTGTGAAAGACACAAGCTCATATCTAGCTTAGATGGAAGCGTTTTTCTCCTCTGATCTCAGTTTGTTATATCCACATTGTTAGAGCCATACTGCACCGTTTTGGAAGTCGGTAATTTGCTTCTGCAACACATATGCAGAGTATACACAGTATATTGTCTTCAGCCTGTGTGGACCAACTTGTAACATCAAAGTCTTTTTTCTATTTTTCTAGGTCAGTAGTCATACTTTCGTGGGTTTAAATGCCATAGACTTTTTTTCTACAGATGCATTAAATACCCCGTCGTTTTTCATTCTCACATTGTTTAAGTTTCTGAGCTCCTCTGAAAACTGAGCTGTTAATTGAGGTTGTGTGATGTTTAAGTTGGTGTCATTGTTTAAGTGACTCCAAGGTGATTATTAGAGGGCTGTGAAGAGACCGTCTGAATGTTGTAACTCCTTTATCATTGGTCCTGATGTGTTGTGTTCTTTCCTCTGGACTGGTCAGGCTTACTGGATTTATTTGGACAGAAAATGATGTTCATCTCTGACTTGATGCATACCTTATCTGAAGAATTTCCACTTCAAATTTTTGTTTCCTTGGTCCTTTTTTGTACATTACGGACTTTTAAAGGTGTATTTAAAAATTAAATCTATAAAGATGTGTGATTTTATTTTTTTTTCTTTATATTTTTGAACTATACGCAAAGCCTGCTAAATTCTTGGCTATTCTAATACAAGTTCCAAAACCATCATTGCAGCTGTTCATATTCAGATATGTTGACTTTGGTGGCATCTTTATTTCATGTTTTAATATATTCAGGGGTATCGGAGGCAACACGACTTAAGAATAAACACTGGCTAATCTATCACACTATTATATTTGATACCCTCGCAGTTAAGAATCACAATCAGAGATTTCATCCACAGGAACTAAATGCTCAACCTAGAACACACTTTGACCATAAGCACAAATACAATCCCATAGACCTGGTCCAATCCACCTAGTCCATCTAATATTTTAATGTCAGGTGTCATTTTGTTTTCTCAAGGTAATGCAGTTCATCAGCTATCATCGGGATCCCTTACATCATTCAGTACACTACAAGTACTTGTGATTCACAGGCCTTAAAAAAAAGATAAAACTAAAAGTCGCTCCTGGAAAAACGCAAAGTGTTCTCTGCATCCTCCTCTGGCAACTCTAGTGTTGATTCGTTTTTGTTACGTGGTTCGACACCTAATTACACAAAGTTTTATGACTTCTGCATAGTGCCAGTGCTGCTAGGGGATAGATGCCTTACAAGACGTGTGTGTGGGTGGCCCCGTTTAGTGTTGCCACCGGCAGCAGGGGGACCAAAGGGGTTACTGTTTCAGCACATGGCCTATATTTAACTAAGCAAGGGGGTTTTTGATCTTAAAGTCACACTGGCTCATTCAGCTATAGCCACTGGCACGGACCACCTTAAGGATGATTTTGTTTTCTTTCCTAAATCTATAACAATCTTTTTATGATACAGTCAACATCTAACAACTTCTTAGTTGAAGTACACAAACAGCAAACTCTAGATCCAGTGAGACCTACCGACTCTCACTGCTCCTCTCTCTAGCTCTACTCCCCTCTTTTCATTCCCCACTCAGTCTATTTCTGTCCCTGGCTGAGTCAGATGGACTGCTCCCAACTTGGAATGACACAAACAGGCACACAACTCTTTTTCGAAATCGGAGTGGTTGAAAACACCTAGAGGACTCTAAAATACACAGAAAAACAACATTGGGGACTACAAAGGGAAGAGCTGGAGGATACAAGCAAGATGGAGGAGTTTGAGAGTCTGGACTCGGAGGTGACAGAGTTACAGAGTGAGGCTTCAGAGGCCATCAGCCAGGACGATGACGACGAGGTGGAAGAACTGCAAAACAGGTCATTTACATACTTGAGCTAGCTTACAAGCAGAATAACCTCAGATGTAGCTCACTTTTATCTTGGTGTAAAGTGGTGTCTTTTCTGCTTGGAGATCTTACCATGAAATATATTGACGGAGTCGTGAGAAACTACTTGTTTACTTAGGTCAAACGCATTTTGCTTTAAAGACTGAATAGAGAAGTCGTACATCTGGAGAGCGTGACTGGACGAGTGCATCCAAGTGACACAAAGTTCATTTAATATATTACATGACCATCTGTCAGGAATTGTCAGATAGGCAGTGCAGACAGCTCTATTCTAATATTTGAATTAATTCACCGAATCATACATCTCATTTATCATGTCTCATACTTGGTGCTCTAGTTTTCCTTGCCATGTCATAAATAGTAAAAGACACTGATATGTTGGATGCATCTGGGAAGGCCAGGCATCTCTTCTCTAGTGACATGAATGACGCTTTGGGACGTCACCTTGCTGTAACCCTGCAGGGCTTGAGCTGTATTGATAGCAGGTGAGTCAGCTCAGAGAAAATTTGATCATTATTTTTTCAGCTCATCACTCACATTGGCAGCCTAGCACCAGGTCTGGTCTAACACCGGAGATCTACACGTGATCATCTTCAGAGTGGATCAGCGGGTGTTATCGTGTTTTAAGCTTAGATTTGCTAAGTCGCAAAACATGAATTGGTGGTGGTGGTTTCCATGCTGGCACATCTTGCACAGATATGTTTTGATTTGATTAATTGGTTTGTTCTCTGCTTGCATTCCATGAGCTGTGCCAAAAGGAGCTCCTCTTGCAGACTGTTTAGTCATGCCCTCTCTCTTCTCGGGAACTGCACAAACAGCCTGCTTTCCTTCTTCTAACCGTCCATTTCTCGCTCTTCCAGTCTGCGAGAGGTTGTCCAGGACCAGTCTGTGAAGCCTAAGTTCCAGTGCCTGATGGTGGATCCATCGTTCTCCATGGTAACTGTTCAGAGCGAGGACAGTGGTATTGTTTGGGAGACGGCCTCTAGCCGCTGCTCTACCCCTTGGGCCTCTGAAACCAGCTCCATCTCTGAAGCCTACAGCATGGATGGCTCTGGAGCTGCAGGAAAGATCACCATCATCTTTGATGAGGAAAAAATAGTCCGTAGGAGGACGAGGTCTGGAAGGAGCAGCAGGCTCGGGGACAGGCTGAGCCGACCTGGTAGTTCAAGATCAGCTTCAGCCCTGGGAGTAGAGAGACCTGAGATGGCGGAGATTTCTCTTCCCAATGTCAAACAGGAGAAAACCAACACAGAGCCAGACTTGGAGGAAATCAAAAACAAAGATCAGCAGCTGTTTAGTTTGATTTCCGAGGGTTATGAGATTCTCAACATCAGAGTCCCCTCCAAACTTCCCACTGTGGACGAGGAAGAGAGCACAGAGTTGCAGGACAATTTGTCTTATTTGGACCAGACTCCGAAGATCAGGTCCCAAAACAGAAAAGACTGGACACTGCAAGAAAATCATGCCCTGCCACAGGAGGGGGAATTACTGGATCACCAAGAGGTATTTATTCATTTCTCTATACAATGAGTAGTTTCAATAATTAGGCATTTCATTTCAAACACTTTCTAACACTAGTTTTGGATTCATTTGGTATTTTCTGCCATCCACAAGAAATTACTAAAATATTAATTTGTCTAGTAGAATGCTGTTTTAAACACTTAATTGTCCTCTAGATTGACTTGCTGATTGTGATCTTTCCTCAGTCGTCAAAGCAAGACTCCTCTCAGCCATCAGCGGACACACAGCTCAGACACACACCCACTCAGAAAGAGAGCACTGGCGACATAGACTACTTTGAAAAGTTTACCTTGGTTGATGTGGCGGTTCCTGGAGAACAAGCTCCAGAGCTGCAGGAGGAAGCAGAACAGCCACAGGCAAAGCCCACAGTTGAGGAGCAAAAGCCAGCTAAGGAGGCCATCACAGACAGCCCCTCTGCGTCAGAAGACTCCTTTGTCTTTGTTACGGATGTGGAGATAATGGGGGAACACCTTGATGAGGTCTTCTACGGCGAAGGAGCTCCTGCTGATGCATTGCAGCAGAGAGAAGACGATGAGGCGGAGAGTGTGATGAGAAGGAGACGAGTGAGCCACAGATCTTTAAAGGAGAATGGTTCAGTGTTGTTTGGGGGTGAAGACACCGTCCTCACACCCATTTTTCTCTCGCCTGGACCCCCCAAGATCATTGACCAGATCCTGCTGGATGAGCCTACTGCCATGTCCTTCATGTACTCAGACCTTTACGAAGATGCTGTAGGCGAGAGGAGGAAGAGCGACGAGGAACACTCTGAGGCAGAGAGCGTAGCATCTGAGAAGACTTATAAGAGACGTTTTTCAGATTCAGAGGAGGCAGACGGGTACCTGGAGAAGTTTATTTTGAAGGATGAAACTCCCACAGTGGAAGTTCTACCAGAGTCAGTGGAGGAGGAGAGGGAGGGGAGGATGATGTGGTTGCAGAGTGAGTTTGACATGACAGGATGTCTAACAAGAGTGGTCATAGAAGAAGACGAGGACAAGACAAAGACAGAGGAACCAAAGACACAAGAGGTCGGTGTTGGAGATGGGAGCGAAGATTTACAATCGGCTACATTTAAAGGGAAAAGAGAAATAATTACTGAGACAAAAAAGGAGATGAAAGACATACAAGTCACCATGGTGACTGAAGAGCAGGCTGCCAGAGAGGCCTCTGACGAATCAATTCAGGTGTCCAAACTGAGAAAGGACCAGATGGAGGATCAGGAGGTAAAGAGAGATCAGACTGAGAGCAGCAATGATAAACCACTAACTGAAACTCAGCAGGTAGACAGTAAAGTAGAGAAAACAGAGGAGAGTGAGGAGCATCAGAGAGAAGTGCCAGCAGAAACAACTAGTATTATTGAAACTGAGCAGCCATGTGAGACACAAAAAGTGGTGGAAAAAACAGCTCAGGTGGTTTTAAATGCCGCAGAGGAGACAGCTGTGGTAGCACCCGTAAGCAGTGACGCGCCTCACCTCATCACTGAGATGAGTTTGTCTGAGGTGGCAGCTACTGACACCAAGATGACGGCTGATAATGAGAAAGACTTAACCGAGGCCATAGCAGAGGCCTCAGCTGAAGTGAAAGAGACTGAAAGACAGGAAATGCTCACCTCTAGTGAAATAGAGACATCCGCTGAAACATCTCTGTGTGAGAAAAAAGAAGCAGCAGAAGTTGTTCCTGGGGATGGTGCACCTGTTGAGGTCATCACTGACTGTGATTCTGCAGTACATGCGTTAGTGGAGGTGATTGAAAAAGCAGTGGATGAAAAAGAGATCCAAACTCAAGTTCAGATTGATCTTCAGGGGGCAATAAGTGTTGAGACAACAGATGCTCAAACAGCTGAAGGAGAGGAAAAACATGGCGTTCTAACAGAGGAAACTGCAGTTGAGAGAAAGTCGCCTGAATTCATTACTGAAGGTGATCAAGAGTCAGAAGTTAAAGCAGAGATCTCAAGTGAAGTAACCGCACCTGTGATGTCAGATGAAGTAAAAAAAGATTCAGATAAAACAAGTATTGAATCCACGCAGCATCAACAGGAGGAGTCAGTAACTGACAATGAGCTGATAACTGAAGCCAAAGATAAAACACCCGCAGAGGACACTGGGACTGTTACTCAGGGGATGGTGAATGTGGGTGATGAGTTAATCATCCTTGTCCCCAAAGGACAAGCTGTAGAGATGGACTTAGAGATCGGTCAGTTATCAGAGAAGACTTCAAGTGATGCAGTAGCTCTCTCTGACCCTGACAGCACATGTGGACGTCTCATAGCACCTGAAACCCCGACAACATGCCCAGAGACTCTTCAGGCACCGAATGAAGAAACGATGACAGAGCCTCAACTAGAAGTAAAACCAGACGTAGTTCTGGAGGAAGACGCACTACCAAGAAACGAGTTAGACAGTAGGTACACTCCTCCAGCACCTGTGGAGGAGGCCTACACAGATGAGCAGAAGATGAAGAGGGACTTTGAGGAAGACGAGGGTGCATTTTCCCCTCTGAGGAGCTTTACTGCCCATGAGGATTTGTCCGGGCTACACAGCGAGGATATTAAGTCAGGAGCAGCAAATGTAGAACAACAGGCAGAGATTCACAAGGTGGACGATGCCCCAGAAACAAGCATTGTCACAGAGCATTCAAGTACAGAGATTGATCTGCACAGAGAGGATGTAGAACAAAAGATGGAGCAAGACGAGGCAGTTGCAGAGGCTCCAGAGGTGACTATTGACGAGCTTGAATATGAGGTAATATATAAACAAGATGCCAAAGAGACGCCGGAACCTGAAACACAGAGAAATGCAGAGGAACCAAAGCCTGAGTCTGGCCAGGAGCGAGATGAGAGGATGGAGATGGAGGAGGAGGAGAAAGTCTTTGATCTGTCCCCAGATGATGAGTTCATAGAGGCTGACTATGAGATTATCGATGCAGAGGAAGAGAGTCAGGCTCGACTGGCTGCTGAGCTGCAGCAGATGCACAGGTTCTGTATCACCTGTGGATGTTTGCTGTCAGAGGACGACTGTGTGTCTGGAGAGCATCACAGCCACGAGGTTACTGCTGTGGACCAAGCCTACGAGGAAATTAAGGTAATGTACTGGGTGAATGGGAAGTTGGGAACGCATATTAAAATTAGCTTTGGAGTTTATATTGATGGTTTTCACAGCTTTTTAAGCCCAATAAATAAATAAATAAATAAACAGAACTGGATACAGCGTCGGAGGAGGGGCCCTATTCATTCCAACAAAAGTTGCTCAGTGGCGCATGAAGCAAAAAGAGTTTGACTTCTGAGTATAAAATTAAAATGAAAATGGGATCTTCCGCATTATAAAGCCCAAAGAGCATGCGCACTAGCTTTTTCTTTAACCCCGCCTCCCAGCCCTCGGTCCAGCCTCCTTCACATGAAGGGAGGAAGCAAAATAACTTGCACAATTTACAACTTTTAGGACCTAATGATTCAAATAAGAGCTATTCAAGTATTTGATCCGCTGATTACCAGATGTCTCTTTCCAAACGTAAAAGTCTATGCTTAGCAAACATGCACAGTTTTAGTAAAATGATCAATGAATATTACATATGGGACAAGTATTGAAGGGTGTAGCAAAATGTTAATAGATTTAAAGTACTAACATTTTGAGAGCAAATAAACATTTCCCAAAATGTTGCAAGTATTCCTTTTTAGATCAGATGACATGTTTTTTTTTCCGTTTTGTATGTAACCTCAGATGTCTCTAATAGCATCTCCCAGATGTTTCATCATCTGAGCAGTCTCCTGCTGCAACAACGTTTCTCATTTCTGATGGCAAGCTGTAATCAAATAGCAGTTCATCATCATACAATTTACCAGCATTATTACAACACACGGTTATGATCACACACACTTTACTGGCATTAGTTTGAGTCATCATATCATAAAGTGCTCCTAAATTAGGCCTTTATAACTTTTCTGTTCATGCTGGCAGGCTGAATGCTGCAGGCTGCCATCAGGCTGAAGCCAAGCACATTGAATTGGTGTGATGTAATGCTCCGCTTTAATCAGTGAAAAGGTCCAGTGTGACATCATCAAGTGGAGACTGATATGTGATCTGCTCACACATTGTTCTCCCTCGCTGTCCCCATCGGTCAGTACAGGCTCAGCCAGCTGCTTTTTTAATCTGAATTAATGTCACAGCACCGTCTAACAATTTAAAATACATATTTGTGTTGTCTTTTACTTGCAGTTTTCCAAAGTCCATCAGCCCACTTTTTAACCTGAACACTCATGCCTTAGACACTTCATTTACAGGAGAGACCATTTCATGTTTTTCTGTAATGATACGTTAGACAACATGGGTGAAGTGACACGTGTTTGATGAATAATTATAGTAAAGAATCTCACATCTAAATCAAACAAAGAATGATCAAATGTAATTTTCAGATTATGCTTGAACCAGGTCTTGTACATGTGGGATGTTGTATTTATGTGAAATTTTGACAGCTCTACTGTAATTTAGACAAAGATTAAAGGTATAATACAAGTTTTACTTCAGCATACTCGGCAGAGAGGGGAAATCGGTCCCAGTTTACCAAAAGAACTTTGCAAAACTTGGTCTAAATAATAACAAAATAGAGGAACTTACATCTCCTGTTTACTTTGACCAAAGAGATCCATGAAATTCCCTTAATAAAAATCATATTTCAGATAAATGTTGGTTAAGTGTGAAGACTAAGTTCGGTAAAGTTGTAATGCATCTACTAAATGCAATCTTAGTTCCCTTAAAGGATAAGTTAATTTCTTATTTTTTTAAGTCTGTCTTATTACATGTACATTTTAGGAGTTATTCTGTACTGTAAATGTCTGTTCTGGAGTAAAGTAGAACATGATTAGTTACAACAAATAGCTCTTTCAATATATATATTTCAATATCAACTTATACACAGGTGGAGCAATATTGCTCCACCTGTGTATAAGTATAATGTCAGCAACAAATCCCCTTCTGTCCAAATCGACAGACGAGATCTCTGCAGACTGTGCATACAACTGAATACAAGTAAATATACACAACTGCCTTTCTAGGTGTGGCCTCACAAAAATTAACCACGACAGAGTAGAACTCAGACAATTAAACAAAAATGATCGACAATAAAGTAAAACGAGCTATCGACACATATTCTGGTTTCAACAGCAGTGTAAAACGTAATCAAAGCAGACAACGTGGTAGCGTAAACACAAACTCCACAGCGGCTGCAGGAACTCTTAATGCAGCAAATAGCAAACGTGTTCAGCATGGTTTTCACACTCTGCGAAGCGCGCGCACACGTAGTTGCCGCAAAGAAGTGTCTGTTGTCGTTCTCATCAACCGTTGTGTTGTTGCACTCACCTGTCTGAACTGCACCGCGAAGTCCTCCACATTCTCCCCCAGGTTCAACTTCTCTTCTCGTTCATTCGTAACTTAACCAGTCTGAGCTGAATGAGGCTCAGCCCTCACACAGGGATTAACGGTCTCAAACAGCCAAGTATTTAGCATGTTAGCCAGGCCCAGCATGCCCTTAGGTCATCAATTTAGCATGCGCACCTTACGACAGGTGTAACATTTATTAACTATGCCGAGGTGTGATAATGCTAATTATAACCACACCCCATGTGCAATTCCTTGTGATTGTGCCTCGAGGGGCCCCAGCACGTGAACGCGAACATGTGTAACAATCATTTCCGGAGTGTCTCCACTCTGGACGGAGCTCTGCCCTCCTGAGGCCTCAGAGACACCTGCAGCTTGTTCTCTGGTGCAGCTGCTGATGCATCTCTTTTTTTCTCTGTTCTATTCCCAAAGTAAAAACGACTTTGTTACAGTAACGAGAGTGAATGTAATGCGTTACTTCCAGACCAGAATTTTACCTGCACGTGTCATTTTTTTTAATTTATCAGGAGAAGCTGGGTGACTGGATCTCAGAGCTTCAGGGGAGGTCAGAGAACATCGAGGACCTGGTGTCTGAGATCGAACTGGCCTACAACTCTGTAGAGGTAAAAACTGTTTCCATATTTAAATACTTTCTCTTTTTAATATTTGCCATTAGATCAGTTTATAAAGCATTAAATGACAAGATGCACACTGTTACATTTGTAAATATAATATCTCTGTTTTCCTTCCCTCTACTCTCGACCAGGACCAGTGCGTGGAGAGCGAGGCAGCGATGCAGGCGCAGAATGAGGAGATGATGGCTCTGGTGATGGAGCAGTACAACGACATGTCTGTCAGCATGGAAGAGGAGAAGAAGGCCAAACTGGAGCAGCTATATGACCAGATTGTCGCCTTCCAGGAGAGCATCGACATCGCCAAGGCCACTCTGGAGACCACGGCCAGAGAGGCCGAGACTGACGCACGGGTGAGTGTTGGGGATTATTGATCAGTGGTTTCGTATGCAGCCAATAATCAGGGTTTATGTCAAATTTCTGATGAATTCCTTTTCAATCTGTTCTCCCACTAGTCACCTGAAGACATTAATGCAAGGTAATGTGATTTCAGTGAATGGAGTGTGAGCCGGTGTGGTTTTCTAATACAGTTTGCTGCTTGACCTGCAGAGCTACCTAAACTCTGCTCAGTACATACCTTTTTTGACACTGACCTGTGGTTGCGGCCAAAGGCTAAATTCTGTGTATGTGTGGTCAGTCTCAAGGCAGCTCTGGACTCAGCCATGTCACTGGAGCTGGGGCCCAAGGGACTACTGGTGTTCGAGGACTACGCCAGGGGCAACACTTCTAGCCCTCACCTCGCACAGCGCAAGGGAATCCCAGGTAGCTCTGATATAAACATATCTTTCCAGATTCACCTGACATCTACAAGAAGTCTTGTGCCATGTGCATATATATGTAGCAGTTAATCGTGTATGTCTCCTGGTCTGTGCCTCAGTGCCTCAGAGGCCTACGCTGCAGCCTCAGGAGCCAGGCTCAGCCACCAGCACCAGTGTCACTGTTTACTGGATGGTCAACCCTGGAGATATCATAGACTGCTTCCAAGTTTACTGCATGGAGGATCCACAGGGAGGTAAATACGTTCAGGATGTTGTTACAGCTGGAAAATGGTGGCCAAAGTGCTCCCATCCTATTTTTAATCCCCATCTACTTCAGGTAAATTGACAGAAATTAAGTTTAATGGATAATTTAATTTGAAATTGAAAATTCTTATTTTTGTTGATGTAGAATAGGTCTTTTTGTACAAATATACATTCTATATTATCTTGTAGTATTTATAATAGGTATAGCTTTTGTTGATGTGACGTTTGTGATTTACGAAATACATACAAACGGTGCATGTGCTGTGGCTGCTGTTGTCCACAGCTGTGTCAGAGGAGTACCGTGTGACAGTGAAGGAGAGCTATTGTGCCCTGGAGGAGCTGGAGCCTGACAAGACCTACAAGGTGTGGGTGATGGCTGTCAACTACACAGGCTGCTCTCTGCCCAGCGAGAGACTCTCCTTCAGAACTGGTCAGTCCCCACAACGAAACGACAACTTTGTCTGACAATGGAAAGCATAATTGTATTCTTTACTGGTATTTTGAAGCGAATTTAGATTGGGCATTTTTGTTACATTACAGCATCTACATTTTTGTTATTGACCTGACTTGTTCTCTCTTTGTGGCAGCTCCGTCAGTGCCAGTGATAGAAACGGAGCGCTGTACTGTCATGTGGGATTCAGCTACACTGCGTTGGAGCTCAGCAAATCTGACTCCCGAACAGAGTTACACCCTGGAGTACTGCCGCCAGTATGAACTAGAGGGAGAGGGGCTCAGGTGAGTGTTTGTTTTAACCAGATAGGGACACATATAGAAAAGTGCAGTCATTAAACATCATAGGAAATCCTGTAAATTTGGTTTAAAACAAAGTAAAAAATGATCTGACATAAAAATACAAAGACATAATCATACTTCTTGCCCAAACTAGCTGGACAAAAAATCTACAGTAAAGTATTTTATAAACTAAGGTTTATTCTTTTAATCTAAACGTGTGCATGTTTGTGGGTGTGTGTGACGTACTCCTAGGTCCATCTCAGGTATCAGAAGCTGCGAGCAGAGGGTTCTCCTGCAGCCCAATGAAAACTATCTGTTTTACATCAAAGCTGTGAATGAGTCTGGAGCCAGTGAACAGAGCGAGGCTGCCCTCATCTCCACCAAAGGTAACAGAACACTCACTTAAACTGTGTTTGTACTTCCATTTGTGTGTAACATTACACAAATACAACACAAACACAATCGACACATTTACACATTATTTTCTCTTACCGGTGACTGTTTTCAGGGACGAGGTTCCACCTGCTGAAAGCCTCAGCTCACCCCGCTCTGGAGCTGTCTGTGGACCAGACCACCCTGCACTACGACACACCATCAACAGACAAACAGTGAGTTTCAGTCAGCTCCAACCACTTAAGCTTTTAAAGAATATTTGTAAACCAGAGTTTGTATGTATTCTAGGTGTCCATCCATCCTGGGTGAGCTGTTGCCGGCACAAGGACATTACTACTGGGAGACCCTCGTGTCAGGAAGCACGGCTTACAGGCTTGGAGTGGCTTACGACACAGCCAATAGAAACAGCCCACTGGGTGAAAACAACCTGTCATGGTGTTTGCAGTGCATCCCTACACCATCAGGGTATGCATAACCCCTCCCCCACACCCCCTTTACAGTACTTCCCTTCACTATTCTGGTCTAAACCCTCCTTTCTTTGCTCTCTTTGTCTGTCCAGCTGCAGGTATCAGATGCTCCACAGTGACATTCAGTCCAGTGTGTTTGTGATTGAGGTGCCTGAGCGAGTTGGTACTCTCCTGGATTACCAGCTCGGTCGCTTGTCTTTCTACAATGCTCAAAGCGGTCAGCTGTTGGGCACTTTCTGCCAGCGCTTCACCCAGCCGTGCCACCCTGCTCTGGCCCTGGAGATGCCGGGCAGCCTGGAGGTCAGCATGGTGCTGGAGGTGCCGGAGTTTACCATAGACAGCTAGCACTACTATCGGCCTCGCACACTGAGGAGTTTACAGTTCATGTTGGACTTCATTGGATTTGAATGATCTTAATGTATAATGATTAAAATGACTTACTGCCTTACTGACAAAACTGCAGATAAGACAATGCATAAAATACAGAAACAGATATCCCACAGTAAAAGCAGAGGACATATTTCTACATACATGCCATTCTTCTATGGGTTTGTGTGTTTATGTTAGATCAAACCTAATCAATAGTGCAATTATTCTCTAATTAACAGGAAATCAATTCAACGTTTATCTCTTTTGTTAACAGCAATGTCTTGTCTAATATCTTATCGAACATGTTTTGTAAATACCAAAAACAAAGGCAGTGAACATGAATGATGACGGTGTGAAATACTGGATTGAAATTTAGTGCCTTCAATTTGTTTCACAGGTGAGTGTCTTGTATTGTATTTTGCCAGGGGAGAGGTGAAATGTTGTGGATATAACACATGCTGATGGGATTGTTTTGTAAATGTTCTTTGATTTACTCTTTCTTTAAACCCTTACTTATAGGTACTGTGAGGTGAGTAAAGGGTCTGACTGTATACTTAAGTCGAACACTGAATCGTTACTGAGACAAACAACAGTTAAAGCCCTTTGGCGACAGAGTTTATAGTGCCGAGAAGCATACGGTGGGACTGTTAAACTGTATTTCATATTGTGGATTTGTGTAAATAACCTTTGTAAACAGATGTGATCTCATCTATATTTTGTTATGTGCCACAGCAGCAAGTGGAGATGAATTGTTTTCTTTTCTTTGTCTTGTAAACTGATTTTAACATCTGAGCTGAATGAACATATTTATTTTTCTATTTGCTCAACTGGACTGATTGTTTCTAGCTTTCTGACGTACATTCACCACTAGAGGGCCTCAGCGCTCCATTAGCTGTAATATTGGCTCAAAATACATTTCTGCCACCAATCCTGAATACTTCTGCTGAATCTATCGTGCAATTAAACGTCCAGATTGCTTTTGATGACTTACAGCTACTGTATTGGGAGCCATACACCTCGCTGACAAAGCTACATGGTTCATGTCATTTCTCAAATATTGCTAAACTATTTTTCCAGGCAGTCCTACTGTTTCCCCTCATCTCTGACACCTTTCCTCATTGCTGGGGAAACGGAGCGGAGGGGAGTGAAATGAAGAAGAGGGGTGTGGGGCAAACACATGCAGACTGTCCGGGAACAGCTGCTGGCTTCCATGTGATCTGTTGGACTGCTCAGCTGGAAGCTGAAGGACAGCTCTTTGAGAAGGGACAGCTTCATTTTACTGGGACTGATAACACTGGATTATGAAGAACATTTTTTATTGTAGCTGAACTCAGGGAGCAGAAAGTTAAGACCCAGTCTCAGTGTTGCAAACTCTTTTTTTACTCAATTAGATTTACTTTTCAAACTCAGAAGAACAGAATGGCAATAGTGTCGTTTAATCACCGATATTAAAAAGATAGAAACATGCAAGATATTTTTTGTAGCACAAAATTGTCAACATGTAATTATTTCCCTTTACCACACCTATTAAATAGCCAGCCAAGAGAAGTCACAGCATGAGCCTCTACCTCCAATGACTTTGACAATATCTGATGTCAAGTATGAATCATCTCCTTTCAGCTAAATTACTCTCATTTTTTCCAGGTCTAAGGCCAAAAACCAAACAAAGAGCTCACTGTCCTCCCAACATATAAACAACGACCATACAATAAGCATGGTGGGCAAGGGTAAAATCTTCTGTCACTATTACTGGAAAAACAAGTTGCCCAATAGCTCGCCTTGCGGCTTCACCTAAGAAGATGGACGTCTCTTAAAGCACAATATATGACCCAAACAGCTCTCGTATAATCTTTTAATTAGGCTCCAGTTGACCGTTTACAGGCACATTTAGTGAAATTATATTAATACGCTTATTTAGCTTCATAAGAAAAGACAGTGGTCGTGGTTGGATTATATTTGTATTTCAATTATATGATGACAGTTGCTACCAACCATCCAAACAGGGTGAACAACAGTAACAGAAATGACAAAAGATAATTTGTGGCAATGTATGAAAATTATGAACCGTTAACATTTGGACAATTGCACAAAGACACCAGCAGTCATGAAGGCACACTGCAGCCTTATGGTCCTCACAAGCCTGATTGTTGTCTGTCAACATTTTGTAATTGCCAAAACACACACACACACACATGCACGCAAACACACCAATGAATGCTTTTGTTTCAGGGTATGGTGCTTTAAAGGGAATGTAACTGCAAAATGTTGTGTTTGGAAGTTGCAGAAGCCCAAGTATCTTGAAAAGTATTAATACTTTTAGACTGAGACACTAATCACAGAGTAGACACAGTTCAGAAGTGTATGAGCTGTGAGGATATTGGGGAGCATGACATTAAAAACAAAAAAACACATGAGGCAGATAATGAGATATTCCCAGATGGGACAGACACTTCAGTTTTAACAAGTTGTTAAATAGGCACAGCAAATGACAACACAGCTGAAAAATCGAAACAAAATAAATGATGTACCTGTAAGATTGATTGTGGAAAAACTATGGCAACAACTGCGAGTGGATTGGTAATGACAGTTATCTTGCAAAACAAAGAAACTGTAATTGAAACACACTGGTTTCTTGGGTAAACTCTCACACAAACACTCATTAGTCCCAAATATTCTGCATGAATAAGTTACTAGAGTGTGTATGAATCACCTCAGTGTATCTAGCAAAGACTGAAGAAGATGATGATCAGCCCTATGAGAGGAAACCACAAGTAAATTGCATTGATTTCCATCATGAAAATATTTACAACTATACAAGCTATACAAAGCAGAGGAGATGAGAGCAAAACAAAATACGTGATTGTTTTTTCCTAGTCATGACTGTATACATACTGTACATAACACTAATTTAAATGTCAGAATTTACAGAAGATTTTTACAGGAGGTGAAAGATCTCAGATCACCGTCATGCTAAAATGAAAACTGATTTATAAAACTGGAGTAACGTAACTAAACACATCTTCCCATTTGGTGCTCTAGCACAACTCTGAACCATGTCAGAGATCAATGCGTATTTAACCAACTTCAATATCCTCATGACGCAGGTGAGGAAACACATGTCACACGTGTCCTATGGTGCATGAACTGAAAAATGTAAATACATATTTCTTACAGAAAACAAAAGGATCAAGTGGTTAGGTGGTCGCTTCTTTTCCCTGCTGGACTTTTACTTTCCTTCAACTTTCTGTGTCTTTCTCATCAAACGCCACTTCATAGAATTCCATCCATAACCACATACATGCACTCAACCTTCTTCTAAAACCCCACACATGCACTTTTCCATCTCTTTCAGACCAACATCTTTGAAATCAATCATCATTATGTTTCTATAAAATAGCCTCTTTAATAGTTATATAGTCATACTTCCAATAATTATTAGGTTATTTTCCATTCAAACCATATTTCCCCTGGATGACATTTTTTTATATTTTTAGGATGTTGAGTCAGAACTGCAGCTTTCACCGACAGGCTTTCTCTCCTCCATTCATAAGCCTGGATCAGGGTTGACAGGTCAGGGGTCAGGGGTCAGGCAGGAGTAGAGCTCTGCTCACTGGCCAGACTGGGTTTGGGGTCTGGTCTGTGGGGTTTGTGCTGAGGGCTGCTGCGAAGGTTGTCATCCATCTACAGTACAGGATGTCCAGTTTAGTTAGAGCACACATGCAGAGGCAGAAAATAAAATGACAATGATTCATTAAGTGACACTATATATACTTTTAGTACAGCTGAGACTGTACCTGCCAAATGCAAGCATGCACCCATGCAAAGAGACGATAAAAGGAAAGCAGAAGCACCTTCTCTATCAAGTTGGACTCTTTGTTTACAAGCTGAGTTAGTTTCTGGAGGTTGGCATCCATTGTTTCCTGAACAGGTGGGGGGGGACCTGGAGAGAAATGATGTAAGCGGACACCCACAGAGAAGATAGCAGCGAGTCAGTGGAAGAGTAACAGCGTTAGGCTGATGAGCACCCAGAAACAGAGCCGGTACAAAGAGCAAGCACACCGTGAAACAAAGATGTGAGAAGAAGGGAGATGCTGATGATGTTAGTAGCTTTGTGTGCTTGTGTATGGATATCATGTAAAATGTCCCCTGCATCTTTGTATGTGTGGATTTCACCAAGCTAAAGCCCAAGAGTGCGAGTATTTCCAGTGTGTGCAGCGATCTTACAAGGGTGGTCCGAGCTGAAGTAGACGGCGAGGATGTTGTCACAGAAGCTTGTGAGGTTATCGAGCTGTCTGAGGTGGCTCTGCAGAGGGCTGCTGGGGAGACTGGCTTTGTACATTGGAGCCACAAAACCAAACACAAAGGCGTCCAGACTGGTCGGCCTACCAACACAAACAAAAACAAATTATAAACACACAGAGACAAGCGACATCGGGCATTACGAGACATCAAATGTAGTTTTACTCATTCTGTCAGTGTCCATAAATATTTTTGTCTTAATAAAAACCAGAAACCATTTTCTGTGTCTGATGTCTCAGAATTATTCTGAAATACACTTCAGAGGACCCATTCCCTCTAATATGATGATCATCAACTTAACAACTTCAATACTATGAGAGGAATCTACATTCATAGATCAAAATGTGGCCTATTGGCCTAATATTGTAATCAAATGGCCAACTGAAGATTTAATGAAAAAAAAAAAAAAACTTTCTTAAAACTAACCCAGACAAATAAAATAAGAACATCCATCCCAACATTTCAATCCCAATTTTTCATGATTTTTCATCTTGTCTGTCTTCTAATAGCTTGGCAGATGAATGTGATGCACATATGTGGTCCATCAAAGGACATTAAAACACTCACAAGTTGCCAAAGAAGTAGTCTGCCGTTCCCAGTCTGTATGAGAGGAGATTCAGGCACTCTTTAGCATCACTGTAGATCTGAGGCAGACAGTGAGAAAGAGTTACAGTCTACAAAGAGTTGACGCAACATGTGACTGATGAATCAGACTAGTAAATGTTTACCTTTCCCTCGACCTCGGTGATTCTGTGTAGCGGCGCCTCTCCTTTGGTTAGAAGGATGCGGGAGAGGGCGGTGTTGGCATAGTGATTGGGAATGAAAAAGTTCAGAGGGAATGGCGAGCGTGAAGCAAACCATGGCCGTGTCAGGTTGGCGTAGTTTTCTGCATCCACCCAGAAAGTGTGCAACTGTGGGACACAAAGCATCACTCTGATTAAAACCATTACTCACGGATTAGTTCTCGTCAGGGATCAAGCAGAGGAGAGACGGCGTTACCAGAGCTGGTCGTAGTTTCTCTTCAAGCAGAGCGATGTACGCCATGGTGTCTGCTCCTTGTCGGGCTGTCAGTTCATAGTCTGCATTAAACTTCTGGAAAAAAGAAGAATCACATTTATTACAGTAGATCTACTGAATCTGCTTAAGGGGTTTGGGGACATAATGACCAGGTGACGGACAGTGAGCAGCCTTGGAATTCACTGGTACCCGTTTTCTCAGGAAGTTGAGAATATTTGTAGGTTCTTGAACTGCAGAGTCTCCACACAGCAACTCTGGGACCGTCGCTGCAAGTTGAACGACAGGAAGAAGATATTACAATTCAAGACAAAGCCAGCGTCTGGTGTTGCATCTGCATTAACGTCATTAAGGTCTTGTAATCAACAATATATTGAGTACCCACAAGTTAGATGAATTCACTCCATTGTGGAACCCAATCAGATGCATAAAAACATTAAATCCAAGCTTTAAATCTGTGTTTTCCAAAGGAATTTCATGACTTGGTCAAATAGTGTGTTAGTCGTCATGTGATTTTTAGTATGCACACTGTTGTAGAGTGGGCTCCTACATTATTATATACATCTAATATTGATATATGTTCCAAACTAAAATGTATTGTATGTATTTAAAACATATTCCTATCAGTCAACCACATATGCATTGTATATTAAGCAATTGCCATGTGGTGTCTGGACCACGCTGTTGTGTAATTCTGGTTTACAGCTGCAGCCCACCTGTGAGAGTTTTCCATGTCCAGTCAATAGGAGAAACCGTGACTTTTGCCCCAGAAAACTTGGCGTAAGCCTGAAAGAAAACACACACTTCAATCAGAAAAATTGTTTTAAAAAAGGGAGGAAAAAAGAAGCAAACCCATGAGCAAGAAAACAAAAGAACTCACTAAAATGAGTTCAAAAATATGTATAACTAAATCAAACATGGTTTCCACTGCCAATTATTTTCATTATAGAATAATTTGTTGATTATTTTTTGGGGTAAATGTCAAATAATAGTAAAAACAGGCTTTTACAAATGTATGGAGTCTAAGGTGAAGTCTTCAAATGTTTTATTTTGTCTGACTAACAGTCCAACACCCACAAAATGTCCAGTTTACAATCAATAAAATAGAGAAAAGCAGAAAACACACCACTGGAGGAGCTAGCACCATAGAATGTTTGTAATATAAAATAACTGAAACATCTAATTGGTTATTTTAAGTCAATTAACCATTCCACTGAATGTCTGTTTCCGGTTGGTGAACAGGACTATCCCTGGCTAACTGACACT